AACAAGGGTCATTTCATCTAGGTGTATCACTATTTTGAATAGTATTTTACATGACACTCATTCAATGTTTTACATGAAAACCAATTTTTATGTGGAAGAAACCTGTAAAGTTTCTTGACCATTCTTTTAACTGGAAAAAATTTAAGTATTGAAAATGTCAAAAGTTGTAACAACTTATTTCATAATCTAGTATCTTTTACTTTTGCTTTTTGCAATTGTCTTTGATAACATGGTTTAAAGTGGTTAATAAATTCATTTATTACTTGGAATGGCTACAGTAATGAATGAAGCTGTTCCATGTGGTACAATTAATGCAAGTAACAGGCAAAATGATATACTTACAGTAATTGTGTATTCTAATGTAGAAAACTGAGGTATTATTTCTGCAGGTTGATGTTGTTCTGAGATGGCTGCATATTGTGGAGGAAACTGAAATAAAATACAGTTATACATTAATAACAAACTTGTTTAAAACATTTTGTTATGGTTATTTTTGTTTATTTAACTGAATATTTGTGCTATTTAGAAAAAAATGGGTTGTCCATTTGAACATACACTCAAAGATATAAAAACTATAATTTTTAAGTCCCAGTAAGGACTTCCATGGAAAAACTAAATTGATGATCACCTGAATGCTAGCATACCATGAATCAGGTCATGATGAAGCTTCATGCACAATATATATATAACACTACATGTACAGTATTCATCTTAAATCAAATTTTTTATACATTTCATTTCAGAAAGTAAAATTCAAAGTTACTTTACTGAATTTTTTTAGTACACTGTAATTTGTAGATGTATTTCACAATCCATTTTCTGCTGAGTATTCTGCATTTTTTAAATTGCAAATTGAAACAGGTTTTTATGTTTTTACATGGATCAAGTCCTTATAGATCACAAAGTCTAACACTTTTAAACATGTAAATGAACATTCAAATAGAAAGTGTTCTAAAATACATATAATTTTTACTTGATCTAAGATCTAAACTGATGTACTGTCACACAGGCTGATTAAGTTAAAATATGTCTGTTGTTAACTACTGTGAAATGGGTTTTTGATTAAAGAAATGGATTTATAATGTACACCTTTGACATAAGCTACAGAGAATACACAATGCTAATCACTAACAATCACCCATATCATTTACAGTGAATTATTTTGTCATAATGTAGATGTCAACTTACAGGGTTTCTTTGGAAACAGAAGTTACATGCCCAAATCTTTGCTCTGTAATCCACTTGGCTGAAAAGACATAAACATCTATACATGAAAAAAAAAATGTTTCTAGGTCTGACAATCTAGGATAATTGCCACTGAATAATAAAAAAATATAGACGTTTTATATAAAACTTATTCTTCTGTCATGTCTGTAAATATTGCTAAAGATGGAAATTTGTTGTACACTACCTTGCATAAACATTGTACTTGCATATTACACATTTACCTCGTGGTACAATACTAACTAGCTGCGGACCTCAAAATATCAAAAGTACCAAAGAGCTACAGTACTATTAAACATGGTGGATTTAAGATTTTTAACTCTTGTGTCATGGCAATTGAATTCTTTCCACTATTGTTATGGTGGAAAGCCATGATTATTTATAATTGACAGGTTGAAAATGTCATTGTAAATAAACAGGATTTTTCAATATAATCAATGTAAACTGCCATATGATATTTATTGGCGGAGAGTACCAGGACCAGGACACTATACATATAATTAACATGTATATAATGACATGCCACAACAAAACTAAGGAACAGTTTATTTGGTTTAGTTTAGTTTAACTAACACCAAAAAAGTGGCAAATCTTAAATCCACAGTACTAGAGTGGTCTACATTTTGTAAGTAGTCGAACTACTGTATCACAAGCCTGTCAACACTGAGGTTGTGAGTTCAAATCCAGTTTTCCTAACGAAGGTCATGGTTCTCTAGTGCTGAAAGTGGTGTTAAAACATGTACACCATTCAATCAATCAATCCACTATGTCAGTACATCTACATTGAATCTTTGAGCAATATCAATGTAATGTATTTCAAAACAATTGAATCTGAATATCTATCATATTTACCAGTATGGATTAAGTATAGCTCTACATGCAGGTCTTGTACACAATACTGGATCATACTGTATTGGTGGTAAGTCTGCTCTCTCTTTAATAGGTGTCAATAAACATCCTAATGGTATAACCATACGTGTAGCCTCTATCCGACTAGATGGCCAAACATTCCAACTAAATCTTGTTCCATCACGATCTTCATTTTGTTGAATGAATTCTTGATATGTTGCCATGTTGGCTCTATAAATAAAGTAAACAAGTGAAAAATGTTGTAAAACAAACATCACAAACTAAATTTTAAGTTTAGTTTTGAACATGAATTTGTAAGCATCAATGAATATCTTCATATCAATTTTTTCTTGAATACATGAAAGAATACATGGATGTACAATGTAACAATATTGTATACCAATGATAATTTTGTATCCATTTTCCTTTTTTAATTTTATCAAACTCATTCAAATATTGACACTAAGTCACTTACAGTCACAATTTATGGTATTTTAATGCAACTCTGTCATGTCTGTTACAAATTCAAACAATATACAATTTATCAAACTAGATAAATCAAATTAAATCAAATAATATTTATTCATTATATATTACAATGTACAGAACTCATAAGTACACTGTACAATACACAACTAAAGATTACAAATGCAGTGTCATCAAAATCCCAATTTGCCATTTACCACAAAGAAAGTAGATTTTAGTACAATAAAACCACACACATTCGATTCCACCTTCTTTTTGTTTAAATAGAATGGTTTTATGATGAAATTTTAGACATGTAGTCCAGTGTTCTCCCCAGAATTTTCAAATAGTACCATGGAAATTAACATAATACTGGTTTTCAAAAAAATATAGCACCATGCATGGCCCCTATACATTCCATTACAAAATCATCCAAGATAGCACCATGGTAGAAAATATAGTACCAGGGTACCATGGTGCTTTAAGGCCCTGGGGAGAACACTGCATGTACATGTATGAAGAACAATCACAACCTGCAATCTGTCTAACTCAATTATTTCAGACAACAGATAATAAATGCATTTTAGTTAAAATCTTAAATGTTAAATGCATGAAGAATATGGCAAAAGGAGTTATCCCAAAGAAAATCAACCAATTATAAAATATCAAGCTTTAACTGCCATCACTTTTCAAAAATATAGTTTCCAACTTGTTCAGTGCTCTCCCCAATATTTTTAAATACATGTACATGTAGCACTATGGGATTTAAAATGGCAGTATTTCAGACTTTCCCCAAAATTACATCGACACCACATTTGTAATACACTCTATTTTAATATCTAGTCGCTTCGGAAGTTCCACAATGGTACCATGTTGCTATAATCAAGCTCCTGGATAGATCACTGATTCTTAAAACAAAGTTTGCCAACCATTGAAAAGTTATCTTGGTTATGGTCAGTCAAAGATGCTAAGTCCCATAATATAATGTCATTGTGCAATCTGATTAAATATGTTAAAATACATATCATATGTACATGGTTCCCTTATAAGAATATAATAAGCTACATGTACATGTAAGTATGTAATTCATCTTTCCAAATATTTGAAGGTGTTGTGTGTTATTATTATATTTATTATCATTACAATAAACCCCCTCAAGTCCTGAATCCCGAAAACTTCTTCAAAACAATCAAAACCAAAGCCATGACTCTTTTAAGTAAAGTGTGGACACAGCATATGTATTTCAATCAGATTGTACATAACTAAAAATATTCATACAGTAATCTTCAGGGTGCAGGTCATTTCGTAACCTGGTCGTTTCGTAACTAGTCGATTCGTAACTAGCTAGTTCATTTTGTAACTGAAACGTTTAGTAACCTTATACCAATATTTAATAATATGAGTTGTAGATTATGGAAATAATGTTTATTAAATATTTCGATTAAAAATAATAAATCAGGCTTTATGCCAGTATAAACATGCAAACAAAGGACAACATAGTGAAGTTAATGTTCTAAAGGATGACGATTAACAAAAAAAAAAAAAAACGCCGGTCTACCGGTCCCCAGTCTGCGTGAAAAGGAGGAATGTTATTCAATAATTGCATGTAATAGTAAGGAAAAAAAGTAGAAAATATTTTTTTTCAGATCATAAGCCATTTTTTTAATCCTCTTCTTAATCACTTTACACCTAATTACTTTTTATCACCTGTCATAAAACCATTAAGCGTAATCATTAATTAGCCAAGAATTTAAATTATAACAATATTATTATTATTAGATGCACAGTTTGATCATTTTTAAGTATAAATAACAAGAACAAAACTCAAGAAATTTATTTTGGCTTCAATATATAGACAATTTTGAAATATAAACACTTCCAGAGACAAAACTAATAGAGACACACTTTATAACCATATATAATTACACGAGGTACGAAACGTCTCAGTTACAAATCAACCTAGTTACGAATCGACCAGGTACGAATCGACCAGGTTACGAAACGACTAGCATTCAATCTTCACTGGTAGTGGTAAAAAAAATATTGACATAAAAATATAAAGTGTACAGAAAATATGCCTGGTATACTTACTTGGTCTTGGGTGAAAATTCTACTTTCATTCTCTGTGAAAATCGATATTTTGAATAACAATGATTGTACTGTAAACGAACTATACTTATTAAAATATGTTATAACAAACTGTAAAAAATTATTCTGGTACTGTCACTGTCAGCTGCAGATGGAAGCCGGTGCTCTCAATTATATAAATTACAAAACTTGAAGTTTAAGTGGTGTCTTTCACTTAACAAATAAACCAAGAATTTCAAACATATGATTTTTATTTGTATTTTGGAATACTTACTTCCACAGACAACGAAATGACGTTGAATTTTTCCAGTTGTCAAATCCACACACGAGAAATCTCCTGTGATGCCACGTAAATTTCCCAAAATGCAAGTTATGACGCAATTGGGATATCCCTTCCGGTTTTAGGCACTTTCATTTTTGCATCGTTTGAGTTTACTACAGATCTAGATCATAATAATGATAGCTATTCATGCAGGTAGAAAAATAACAAGCTACACAAAATCCTTAATACTTTCTGGTACACAAAAGGAATACAAAAGGAAAAGCGCCTTTATTTCGGGCGACAATCGAAAATAAAGTGTGTAAAGGTTAAAACCAAAGGCGTAGAAACTCTGTTTTCTTTCCGGAAAATTGGCAAAAAAAAACCCACAATAAAGAGGCCCCTCATGGGGGGTGTACAAGTAATCACATAATCACAACTTTTTTGCTAATATAATCACATAATCATTTTTAATTATTTTTTTTAACAAGATAATCAAATAATTGAAAAATACAGTCCTAGATTATCAAATAATCAAAAATACAGTCCTAGATTATCAAATAATGAAATATTTGGTCTGGTAATCAAATAATCATTATAAAAACGGCCAAGTAATCACATAACCAAAAACCTAATGACGAGGCTCACTAATTTGTCGTAGAACTTGGATACCGAAATTAGATAAAGAGTGATTTGATTTAACATGAAAAGGTTGGAATCACAACAATAAAAACTATTTCAGTTTCCGATAAGCAGGCAAGAAACCATAGTTGGGGTATTGCAAGCCTACCCAGTCCCAATTTTAATTCGTAAAAAATTCCATATGGCAAAACTTTTTTCCACACTAGGTACAAATAAAAGGAAATGGCCTAAGGTTGCTCGGACAAAATGGCCCAATTAAATGGGTATAAAACGCACAGGTTTATTTTATATTTTGAAAGCATTATTTGTATGCAGCATTTCATGAAATTGCAATAATTTAACTCGATGTTTATTGATTGTTCAACAATAGCAATAATAAATGCACGAAATAATTTCTGAATTTACACTAAGTATTCCCCTGTGCGCAAAAAGTTGTCTGCTTATCTGAATGAAAATCAAAGAAAATTTGCTGTCACAGGATTACAGCAAATCTCTGAAACGGCTTCATGTAAAAAGATATACATTAAAATATGCATGAAACTGTCAAATATTTTAATGTATATTAAAATTAAGATCCATTTTGTTACATCTGTGATCCGTTTATTTGGCAATCGCCATGGCAGTTAGCAGGGTTTAAGAACATCAGTTGTTCGACCTGCTAGTCAAATGCGTTTTGTTAAAATATACTTTTTCACTTTTTGGTCTTTTGGAAAATGTTGTTTGTGCTGTATTTGGACCCCTCTACCAAGAAATTTGTTTTGCATGCACACGTATAAAAATTGCGGTTTTTATCCAAGGCAATCATAGGTTTGAACGTTGTTTTCAATTTAGACTTGTTTATATTTTTTCGTTTGGGCTTGTATTATATTTGCCTTCGGGTTTATATGATCCGTTCATCCTATTTCGACTCTTCAAAATTCAAGAGTCAATCCCAAATTGAGGTAAATTATATGGCCTTCCAAATACCGTTTCGATTCCTAACATCACTGAAGAGACATTAATTGTCGAAATCCGGATATGGTGTACAAATTTTTGCACCTCATGTTTGCGGTATACCATCTTTTCCGCAAGTTTTTTGTTTTCTATTTGGTATTAAATTAAAATTAAGATCCATTTTGTTACATCTGTGATCCGTTTATTTGGCAATCGCCATGGCAGTTAGCAGGGTTTAAGAACATCCGTTGTTCGACCTGCTAGTCAAATGCGTTTTGTTAAAATATACTTTTTCACTTTTTGGTCTTTTGGAAAATGTTGTTTGTGCTGTATTTGGACCCCTCTACCAAGAAATTTGTTTTGCATGCACACGTATAAAAATTGCGGTTTTTATCCAACGCAATCATAGGTTTGAACGTTGTTTTCAATTTAGACTTGTTTATATATATATATATATATATACAATTATTTAGGAACTATTTTACAGAGTAAAGAAATCCATTTCATTTAACATTTGAACATAATGAGGCCCCTCATGGGGGTGTCCAAGTAATCACATAATCACAAATTTTTTGCCAATATAATCACATAATCATTAATTATTTTTTTAAACAAGATAATCAAATAATCAAAAATACAGTCCTAGATTATCAAATAATCAAATAACCATGAAGTATTTGGTCTGGTAATCAAATAATCACTATAAAAACAGCCAAGTAATCACATAATCAAAAACCCCACGAGGAGGCTCAATAAAGAAAACATTATGCCATGGCAACAATTATCTTTCATGTTTTTCATTTAAAATCCTCACTGTTTTTACTAATTCCAAGCTAACTACATGTATTTTACATTACATCAAAGCTAGTATAACAACAATCATGATTTTTTCAGACACATATTAAACAATCATGACAATAATATCAAATTTATAGATTTGTAAATACCCAGGGCTGTCAAGTTTTCATGAAGCAAATGTGTGAGATCTGGCAAAAATTGTAAAGATGGAAGAGAAAAAACAATAGATCAAAGGAAAATGCTGCCAAATAAGTATGAAAATGCGTGAGTGTCATGCAAAATGCGTGAGACTTGACAGCACTGAATACCAAAAAACCGTAATCATAAATAATGAACAATTAATCAATCAACTAATCAGTAAAAAATAATTTATAAACAAAAATCATGAATTTTTATTCATGAAAATATAAATATTTTGATATATATACATCTGAAAAATATCTAAGTATACCCCATGCAACACAGTTGCTGTCTGTCTGTCTGTCATTTCTGTTCTCGTCATTGCAACTCCTCAGAAACCACACAACAGAAACTAGATAATACGGCCATACTATGAAGATGTGCATATTGACAGGGAATTATGATTAAAATATTTTTTCTAGGAGTTATGCCCTTTGAACTTACAACTTTTGCCTTAATATACTACTGCAACAGTTTGTCATAGCAACTCCTCTGAAACACCACAACAGAATTTCATGAAACTTAGTAGATAATTAGGACATACTATTTACATGAATTAGATGTGCACATCGACAGGAAATTTTGATTCAATTTTTTTTCTAGGAGTTATGCCTCTTTGAACAAACCCTAAATACACTAAATCTTGTGTTAATAAACTAGACATGTGCAATTATTAAACAAAGAAAATTTAGATTAGGATCTGTCAAATTTTAGCAGGACTTTAGATAAACTGTAATTGCAGTAGTTATGGGTCATGCAGATAGTGCCTAAAGTATACATAAAATGTCAAATAAATTTTATGTGAATTTTTCCTTTGAAATACTTGTTATAAATACTCTTAAACATTACTATCAAGTTTTGTCATAATCAGTTCAATAGTTTTGGTGAAAATTAGTGCAATTTAGAACTATAATATACATTAGAGTTTAATTTCTTTAAAAAAATCTAGCATCATGATAAAATGCAGTAAATGATCAAATATTCATCTCATCTGTATTAAAACAGTTGCATATGAAAAAAAAAGTCTCTAGGATGATAATTACCTCCAACGAATCTTTTTGCCCACCAATATGACAGATCATGCATGGCAAAGTTTATCCCCTATTGGGCACCCTATTACATTATTTTAAATTAATGTTTTCCAAAAATTGTGCAGAATTTACCATTGTTTGAAATAAAGAAATACTTTGCCTGAAGAAGGTTAAGCCCTTTCCAGTTCTAAAGTAAAAATTTGACACAACATTCCAGTTCATATAAGAATATAACCTTGGTTTGAAGTCATCAATTAAGACAATTTCTTTACTTTCTTTTTCATGTTTTCAATAATTAGTTATTGTCATATTCTTCTCATCCTGCAGGTGCTGGTTACCATTCAGAATCAAAATCAGATTTGTACAAAAGTATTTGTAAACAAGCCTGTTTAATGGTATGTTGAAGTAAATCTATGTTTATGACAGAAATAATTGAAAAAAAAAGAATACTAATAAATTTACAAAGGGTAAGTAAAAGTACTGAAAATCCATAAGAAAATTCCAACTTGGAAATATGACACTATTTTAAGAATTTATTTTTATATTCATGTATCAAATCAACAGCAAAAATCATTTCAATAACTTATCTTGACTGATGCTATCGTTATTATCTACTCTTACTCAAAAGATCAGAAAAATTATTTAAAACGATCTTTTGACTATGTCTTGACAGATTTTATATTGTAAAGCTTTGGCTACATTCAACAAATTATTTTTAGCTCACCTGGCCTGAAGGGCCAAAATGGCTATTCTCATCACTTGGCTTCCATCATCTATAGTTGTTGTTATGCGTTAACTTTTACAAAAATCTTCTCCTCTTAAACTATTTGGCCAAATTTAACCAAACTTGGCTACAATTATCATTGGGGTATCTAGTTTTAAAAATGTGTCTGATGACCCTGCATGCCTGCCAATCAACATTGCCAATTGCTAAAAACACAGAACATAGATACTGTAAATTCAGAAATTATTGCGAGGTTTTTATTAATGCGAATAATGCGACTGGTGAGTATCGCAATAATAGGAACCCGCATTCTGATATATGAAACATATATCTGTATGCAGCTTTTCCATAAATCGCAATAATTAATCTCACAGTTTTGTTCATTCTTCAAAAATCGCAATAATAAATGCACGCAATAATTTATGAATTTACAGTATCCTTTGTTTTTCTATTATAGAGGTAAAATGCAAGTTTTATCTTTTATCTTGAAAACTGCTTTTCAGAGAAAATCTGACAGTGGAAAAAATGTTCAGACCTACTGTTCATTTTCATCAAAATAGTCAACTTCTTTTAGTAATTATCGCCCTTAAATGACGATATTTTATTTTACCATTTTTTTCAATTTTTCCCTAATATCTTGAAAATCATAATAGATAGAAACATTTTTGTCGAGCCTGCTACTTCTGTTGCAGAAAGCTCGACATAGGGATAGTGATCCGGCGGCGGCGGCATTCACTAACTATTTAAAAGCTTTATATTTTAGAAAGATGAAGACCTGGATGCTTCAAACTTTGTATATAGATGCCTTATCTTATGAAGTTTCCGTCTGTCATATGTCCATTGTCCTTGACCCCATTTTCATGGTTCAGCAACTACTTGAAAAAAAAGTTAAGATTTTTTTTGTAATGTTAATTATTCTCTGAGTAATAGGATAACTATATTTAGTATGTGCGTACCTTGCAAGGTCCACATGCCTGTCAGACAATTTTCATCTGACCTCAACCACATTTCATGGATCAGTGAACAAGGTTAAGTTTTCGTGGTCAAGTCCATATCTCAGATACTATAAGCAATAGGTCTACTAAGTTTGGTGTATGGAATGATTGCAAGGTGTACATGTCCAGCTGGCAGGTGTCATCTGACCTTGACCTCATTTTCATGGTTCAGTGGTTAAAGTTAGGTTTTTGTGTTTTGGTCTTTTTATCTAATACTATATTGAATAGGTCAACTATATTTGGTGTTTGGAAATATTCTACAATGTACATGTCAGTCTGGCAGGTTTTATTTGACCTTAACCTCATTTTTTTGGTTCATTGCTCAGTGTTAAGTTTTTATGTTTTGGTCTGTTTTTCTTAAGAAATAAGAAATAGGTCAACTACATTTGGTGTGTGGAATGATTGTAAGGTGTATATGTCTGTCTGGCAGGTTTCATCTGACCTTGACCTCATTTTCATGGTTCATTGGTCAATGTTAAGTTTTCATGGTTAAGTTTGTTTCTTAGATACTATAAGCAATATGTCATCTATATTTAATGCATAGATTGATTGTAAGGTGTACATGTCTGTCTGGCATGGTTCATCTGACCTTGACCTCATTTTCATGGTTCATTGGTCAGTGTTAAGTTTTCCTGGTTAAGTTCGTTTCTAAGAACCTTAAGCAAAAGGTCAACAATATTTGGTGTATGGAATGATTGTAAGGTGTACATGTATTTCTTGTTTGGTTTATCTGACCTTGACCTCATTTTCTTGGATCATGTTAAGTTCATGTGATACTTGTAGTAAAGCTTTATATTTAGGACTATCAAGTTATCAACATAAAATGAATGGTCAGTAAAGCATGTGAGACATTTCAGCATGTGCACTGTTGTTATCATTTTATATTGCGTTTTTTCCTATTATCTTGAAAACATGTGCAGTTATAGATAGATATAAAATTGAAACAGCTAAAATGATCAGTCAGACAAGGTCTGCAAATAACTATGTCTTCTTATAGGAGTTATTGTCCTAAAATGATACTTTTTTTAATCTATAAAAAAATTATCAGCAATACATAAAGAGATTCAAATCATGAATTACATTTGTGTCTGCTATTTTGGAGAGTTGCCATTGTTGAAGATGCACAAAGACCTAGGTGAGCGACACAGGCTATTTAGAGCCTCTAGTTTACAGATACTATGTTTTCCCTTGTACACCTACATCTTTCGATCATTAATTTGGTTTGATCAGACAGTATAAACAATGTCTTTGCAATGCTTTGATATTAAAGATCTACATAAGGCATTCATAAACCTTCTCTTCTTATCCCATATCTTTTCATTACAAGTATCATTCATTATTATTTAAGTTGGCACCAACAAGACTCTTGAAATTTGATGTAATTTCAACTAATATCAACATTTCAACATGATTTTAGGCTATTGAAGCAATAAAGAGTGGGAAGAATGCAGTAGACTGTGTAACCATAGCTGTAAAATGTTTGGAGGTTAGTAAACACACCTGTATTAATTTATTACACATCACACTTCACACCTATATGTAACACATTAAGTCTGTAATACATAGGTGCCAACATTTCAAACTGCTGTAATATATATTTTTTAAATTGGAAAACAAAGTAACCTAATTTGTTTAAATTTTGTGACTCTGGATGTACATGGGCAATAACTTTTTTACTGTAATTGATTTATGGCATGCAACAATATCACAGAATGATTTATTTATTACTTTCCATGCAGTTTTTTTAGTTGCTTACATGTTAAATTTAATTTGTCAAAGATTGATAATTAATGTGTTCTTGTCATTTAGTATTATCACCTTATTATGACCTCAGTTTTGTGGTCCGTTGTCAGGTTAAAAGTATGAATAGAAATTTTGTAAATATGTCCATTGGACAGCAACCCAAGGACAACAGGCAAAACACATCTTGAGACCAACCTACAGTATTCAATAATAGACAAATGTCTATATAAGTCAACCTTTAGTTTTAGTTAATGTTAAGTTGTCAGGATTAGATTTGTTCCTCAGTAAGTTGTGTGACAGGGCATCAATATTTATTATGGGATTTTTTGTAAAGAGTATGTATGTCTGTCATATGTCATTTATTCATAACCTCATTTTAATGCATTTAACCACTTTGTTTTTAGTAAAGCCACCCAAATATCCCACAACAATTTATCCAAATTTCATTTTGTCAAATGGATTTAAACCTATTTTACTGTTTCTTAAATATTACACATGCTTGGATAACAATAATTTGAAAAGTACATGGATCTCTGACAGTTTTATTTGACCTTGACCTTCAGTTTCAGAATATGTTCATACAATGTATTTCAAATATTTTCAGCAGGTGAAACTTTCATATTGAACTTATTGATTACACTTGTTTCAAAGTCAATATAGCATTATGGGTTAGATATAATGTGCCATTTTTTTCAATTTTAGGACTCTCCTAATACAAATGCAGGATTAGGATCAAATCTGACCATGGATGGGACTGTTGAGTGTGATGCAAGTGTTATGGATGGCCAGTCACTTCAGTTTGGAGCTGTCGGTTGTGTCAATGGTAGGTAACATTACTTCTACATTTTATATCACCACCTCTGTTGTCTTGTAGAAGCATGCCTACCTTGAGTGTGTGAGGTTGTAAGTTCAATCCCCTACTAAGTCAAACCAAAGACTTGAAAATTAATAATAAAAACTTGTCGTTATGAGCAAAGACTGATCAGCCTGGAGTCAGAATAATGTCTCCACAAGGGAGAAAATGTCTTCCTGCAGACTTTTTCCTTGTGAACAACTAGTTGTACACTAAAGATCTCATTCAAAATGTAGGCATATAAAGTACAAAAAGGGTTGATAATCATATCAAATTAAGCTGTTCTCATCCTGATTGTTTGGACCACCAAAATTTGCAGAGGATAGACACAATTTTAGTATTTTGCAATAGAAGTAATAGTGAGGACCAGCAGATTTTCTTAATTCAAGAACCACCAGGGATAAAATATTTGAAGAACTCTGTTGATGCATCAAAATATATGAAAATTGGTATCCAGTTGGTAATTAGGATTAAGAATTGAGAGGTCAGAGTTAGATGGTTGCAATCAGATTTTTGCATGTTACAATATGTTTTAATCTGATTAAAATATAGATTCTGTGACCAAGCTTTGCTTACAAGGATCTGACAACCCTCTGTTTTACTTTCTGTTCTGGTTATTATTACATCAGCCAATGAAATTTCAGCATTCAAATTTTTGAAGGTATGTATTTATCCGACAAAACCAGAGGATCCCTTATTGGCTTTAAAACAGAAAAAAGAGCCATTTTAAGATCCTTATAAGCAAAGCTTGGACACAGGATATGTATTTTAATCAGATTTCAATATGTTTCAATCAAATGGAATGGAGGAAATCTTCAAATCAGCCTTGTAGTATCCATTCTGGGGAAGAAGGGGTGCACATTATGTTTTTCTGCTTTATACCTCTGTCCATTTGTCCTATACAATATAAAAATAAGGAGATATGGTATGATAGCCCATAAGACAACTATCCACCTAAGTTTAAATGAAGTGGATGTAAACTATTATAGGCAACCGTATCGTTTTCAACAATGAGAAAAACCCATACCTTATAGTTGGCTATAAAAGGCCCCAACATGAAAAATATGGATCAATTCAATTGAGAAAACTAACGGCCTAATTTATAACAAAACAATTTACCAAAAACAAATATGACAGACATGAACAACGACAACCACTGAGCAACAGGCTCCTGGCTTAGGACAGGCACATAAAGGATGTGGCAGGGTTAAATGTGATTGCTCAACCCTCTCCCTAACCTGGGACAGTGGTGTTACAGCACAACATAAGAACAAACTCTAAAAATCAGTTGAAAAGGGTTTAACTTATCAGATTGATACAAAGCAGAAAAAGATTTAACAATAACACAGTCTGGATGTGACAGGGTATTTTTACATCCCTAACAACAAAAAATACACAACATACAGATCAAAGAATACTTGCAGTTACTGACAGCTAGGTAAAAGCCAATAACAACTAAATAAAAAAATCATGTATCTAAGTCTTAGTCATGGCATGAAGTTGTGGTCACATCAACTTGAAACTTAGTGCACATGTTTATGATGATGTGAAATTATTAAAATTATATGGAATATTAGGATTTGACCCAGAAGTTAAGATTGAATGAACATGGAAATATGATAGTGTAAGCCAGCATGGTGTCCTATTAAAATTTGCTTCTTTTTTTCTGCTTAAATTTCACTAGTCCTTTGAAAAGTTTACATCAGAGTTGATGGTATTTCAGTTGACCTCATTTTTACTTTAGATTTGTGATACATTTTGAAAAATACATGGAATGATTCCATGTTGTCAATATCTTTGAAGAAAATTAATTACTACATTTGTTTTTATCTCGCCTTGACGGAGTCAAAAAGAGAGACATAGGTATTCTGTTTCCAGCGACGGCCTCAACAATGTATTAGTTTGTGATTACGTCTAGTGTATGGTGAACCACTAGTGGTAGGTCAGTGATCTTTGGAATGCGGTTGTATTAGGAGCTAGGCACATCTCATTACTATGGAGATTATTTGGCCCGCCCCCTCAGTCATGGTCTACTGACTTTAAAACTTTGCTTAGTTTACATGTATTAGTTTGTGATTAGGTCAGTTTATGGGGAACCAGTAGCAGTAGGTCAATATTATTTGATATGCAGTTGAAAAATCATTGGCATATCTCATTTCTGTGGAGATTATTTGGCCCTACCTCCTCAGTCATGCTCTATTGACTTTGAAACTTTTGCTTTTTAGTTTTCATGTATTAGTTTGTGATTAGGTCAGTTTAAGGGGAACCGTTAGTGGTAGGTCAATGATAATTGGTATGCAGTTGTATAAGCATTAGCACATCTCATTTCCATGGAGAATATTTGGTCCTTACCCCTGAGTGATGGTATATTGACTTTGAAACTTTTGCTTAGTTTACATGTTTTAGTTTGTGATTATGTCACTTTAAGATGAACCACTAATGTTAAGTCAATGATATTTGGTATGCAAATGTACTGGCATTTGCAAGTTTCATTTCCATTGAGATTATATAACCCCACCCCCTCATTATAATACATTAACTTTGAATCTTTTACATGGTTTACAAGTAAATATTTGTGTTTAGGTTTGTTTAAAGGGAACAACTTATGAAAAGTCAATGGTATTTGGTATGCAGTGGTATTATCATTGGCACATCTCATTTCCATGGAGATTGTTTAGCCCTGTACCTTCAGACATGGTTCATTGACTTTTTATTTGCATAACTTACATGTTAAAGTATTCATATTTTAATTTCAACATTTGCATTATCAAAATAACAAACAGGCGAGACATATCTCTGTGTGAACAGTTTATTATTGAAAATGTGTACGAAAAATAATTAAAATCATTTTTGTTTGTACAGGATTTAAAAATCCAGTGGAAACAGCTAGGCTACTTGTGGAGAAACAAAAACAAGGCAATTTATCCTTAGGAAGAATTCCACCAAGGTAGGTAAGGAATATATATAACTGGTTCTCTTTTTTGCTGTAGGGAATCAGAAAAGGGAACGGTCAGGGAAAATGGTATGAGTTATTGCTTCAATAGCTTGTATATTATGTAAAATGATACTTTTAGAATAGAGATACATTTTTACTAAACAATCACTGAAAATTGTAAAACTGTGAAAGTGTAATCCTGGTCTGAAGTTTTTACTGGTTCATGTTATGGGGTTTTCAAGTTATAAGAGGCCCTAAGAGGCCAACATCATAAGTTTTACATATTGATACAGATTTTGATGAATGGTTCATAAACAAATATATTGGATGAATATAAAAAAATTATATAGTTAACATTCTTTTGAATCTATTTTATTTTAGCATTTTGGTAGGAGGGAGAGTAGAGAAATGGATATTAGAAAATGATCCTCATGTCAACACTAATTGCAACCTGATTACAGGTAACTCTTTTGATTGGAAATAAAGAATTCATTTATAGACTCAGTTAGAATATAGCATTGATTAGTCTCTAAATTTTTCAACCTCTACATTAGTTGAACAGTGAATAACATTGCTTGGAATGTTTTTGCCTTACCAGTTTTACTGTGTTTTTGTTATATACAAGTAATTAATTATAAAATGAATGAACATAACTTGCATTTATGCTATTCAGTATTATAAAAAAATGCTTAAAAAAACATTTAGCAAACAATGTACTTTGCTGACATATAAAGATTGTCCTTATATATTAAGTATCATGCACTTTCTATTACATACTAATTATCTGGTTTTTGTAATGTTTAATTTAGATGAATCAAAGAGAATGTTTCTGAAGTACAAAAGAAGACTAGAACTTCACGAGGATAGAGTGAACAACAAAAGGAGAAAGATTCATCAGAATAAAGACAAACAAGAGGTCTTTTTAGATAATAACAAAAAATGTTTAAATTACCGTTTGAAATTCATAGACTTCATAAACTAAGGCTCTATAGATCTGCAATGCTAATCTTGGTAGTATCTACAATGACCCTGCACAAGGATCAGCACCAACTGGTAATAGAGGGTTTTCTTACTGTTACTGAACAGTTTGGTTTGATAAAACAAATTGCAATTTGGTCAGAGTTTTGAATAAATTGCAATAGGTGGAGAGCATCACTTACAGTCAAGTCACAGTAAGATAAAAAATAAAATTCTATGTCACCATAGTCCTATCTCTTTGTACAAGCTCTTCATTTTATCTCTATTTTTTGCTAACTTGGACACAGAATGATTGCCTATGGTTTCATAGGTAAAAATTCAAATTAAAAAAATATATGTCAGACACTAAGTGAAGGCAATAGCAGAATGGAATGTTATGTCAGCAAAAAAATGGTAAAATGTGCTAGAAAAGAAAAATTTAAATAACAAAAAATGGTAGTGTTTGTGGTAATTATACATGATATAAAAATATATGAAGTATGGGAAAATAGGTTAAACTGTATATCTTTAGCTAGCTGTTTAATAAGACCTTCAATAATAAATGTGAATTAACCTTTTCTAAAAGACAAAAGATGACTTTGATAATACTCTTTGATATTTATTGACATGTTCATTCATAACTTTACACAATGTTAAATATACATTGTAAATGTACATGTTTATCAATATATTTTTGTAGGAAATAGGTGAGAATGAGGAAGGAGACAGTGATCAGAGTTTTATACAAGACACAGTTGGAGCAATCGCCGTGGATACTTGTGGAAACCTAGCAGCAGCTGTATCAAGTGGTGGTATATCCCTTAAACAACCAGGCAGACTTGGACCAGTTTGTAAATTTTTGTTGTTGATAAAATAAGTTTAATACTGTAAATTCAGAAATTTTTTGCATCCATTTATGATTGCGATTGTTGAATAATGGACACAAATCAAATGCTAGATTTATTATTGTGATTTTCGGAAATACTGCATATAAATAATGCTTTGGTTGTCTTTGGCTGTTTTCCTGCTCTTTGGTCAGGTTGTTGTCTCTTTGATGCATTCCCCGTTTCCATTCTCAATTTTATTTCAAAATGTAAAATGCAACTTTTTTTGCAAAACTTATCCCATTGCAATTTTTGCAACGATATAAACATCACAAAAATTTCTGAATTTACAGTAGTTGAAATTCTCTTCAACCACTAACTTAAAAGTGCTTATACATTGATTAAAGTGTTCTTTAATTTGCTAAATTCTCATTTCTACTCCATTAAATATTCTAGTACTTTGATTCTGTGTAGAGAAGAGTGATTTAAACAACACTCGTAGAAAGTGAACATCAGAACATTTTATCCTTGCTTAGACTTTATAATTTTGCAATCTATCTTATAGGACAAGGGTGGATAAAGCTTTTATTTTCCTCAATACTTGTCCAAAAAGAATCTTAATTTATTATCAGATTTGTGTAACTGTTACTGTTTCATTGAAATAACACTTTTTTTTAAATATATTTATCAAGATTCAGTTGTTTTGGTTATATGACATATTAAGATGACTTAGTTGGTAGGAAACTTGTTCCAATCCATTTGCATTGATATTGTAAGAAATAAGTTTATTCTAATTTATAACAGAAAATGAGAGAGAGTAAACAGTACACATCAGATGTTCACAAAAATAAGTCAATATAAAATAGGAAGAACAGGTACTTGTGGAACAAAACAGTTTTTTAAAAGATGTATGCATTCAATATTAAACTATCATATACCGTTATCTGTTGTAATCCTTTCACGCTATCATTTACCGCTTATTGTTGTAATATTTTCAAATAACTTTTTTTCAGTTTATTTCCACTGAAAATTAAATTACTTCATTCATTCATTGCAGTATCTTTTCTCTGTAGGCTGCAACCTATGGTTCAGGATGTTGGGCTTACAACTGGTCATCAGACATCAAACCAGGGGTTGCCATAGCAACATCAGGTATGATATAAATCTTTAATGTGTTATATATGGAATTGTTTTGTACATTTTGTCATTGCAAATCTTATTTTTAGATTCGTCATTATTGAGAGCCAAAATATCATCCAAATATCTAAAAGTATTATTAAATTTGTGTATCAGATGTTGTTTCGATGGGTCTTTGCTGATTTTTGTCATAAATTGTAACTCATAGCAATACAAAAAAAGGTCCGCGATAAGTGGTGCACAGTTAGTTCCCATTGGAATTCCGATAACCTGACGATATACGGAATCTCCAAAGCGAACAAAAATGTTATCTAGTAAAAATTCAAGGGCATATATAGTATCAAAGCATGTCCAATTGACATAGTTTTTTTGTTTATTGCTACTAAAAAATGACCTAAAAGAGTTTGAACATATATATTCACATTCTGACTTTTTAAATGCCCATTTAATTAGGTGTGTGAATTTTTTTTTAATGAGAATGTGAGGCAATGTGGTATATAGGGTAGAAAAATCAAAACTTTGAACAGATTCAAAATCACCAATATATGCATGTAATTTATCAAGTACTTCCAACGAGTTCTTGACACTCCAAAAGTTATTAATTCCACTATTTTCGAAGGCCTTATTTGAACAATTTATTATCAGGTTTTTGATTGTACCAAGTGTACTGGTAAGAAGAATAGACAATTTAGTAGTGGAACAATGGCTTGAAGTCGAAATGAATCTATATTTGTAAGGTGTTTTGTGTAGCTTCGGAAGCCATGTCTTTTTTTTTGTTTTAAGGAAAACCCTTAAATTGTCTGACAATTTCTGCCAAAAAAAATATCACAACATTCTTTATATTCTCAAAGTGGTAACGTTTTTTGGGCAATGGCAGCAGTTCCTGGGATAATTACAAAAGCTATAAACTAGGATGATAATTTAATGGATGAAACTGTTCTTTACAGTCTATAGTAGCTACATGTGAGATTATTGCAATGCACTATAAGGGAAAAGGGAAATTTTGCTATGGCATATCAATTTTATATTTATCATTTTCATGAGTTAAAAGCGACCTTGGTGGAGTAGTAGTTCATCAACAGCAATTACTAGCTTGTCCATACTGACATACATGTGGTAGGTGCATTTGATTCCCATCCGAATAGACTTGGATTACCAGTTATCCTTCCAAAGGTTTTGGTTTCTCTCCTGCACTCCTGCTTCTCCCACCAATGAAAACTGGCCGCCACAATATAGCCAAGTATGCTGAAAGTGGCATTAAACACCAACAATCAATCAACTTTTTTGTTGAAGAATATTTTTTCAACTAATCATATAATAATACTCAACCATGGGAAGATCGTCCATTTAGATACCAAGCCTTTAGAACAATGTCATGTATCATATAAAAGTAAAACGAACTCAATTTACATTGTAAACAAACTTTATTTTTCTATATTTATCTTATCTACTTATAACTTTTTATTGCTACTTTCACTTTTCATTGTTTCTCTCACCATGACAACGTCAAATTCAATGTACCACTTTGAGTACTTCAGTAATTAATTTCTGTATGAAAATTGTCCTGATGACGCCTGCCCTGCAGGTGAAACATGTAGACCATAGCAAATAAAATTGCAGACCATTTAAAGTGTTGTTGTCAATTTTGAGTATTATTTAAATGGTGCATTCATTTGCATAATTTGACAACCCCGCATACCAAGGTATCCACTTCAGGGACTCTATGGAAATGATTCACACAGGCGTTGGTTCACCAAACGGAGTTTAATTTAATCATAAAATAGATTCAATGAATTGATAAATATTTTCTCCTTTAAGGTACATTTTTGTAAAACCAATTATTTTTCTTTGCATGTTTTAGGAAGTGGTGAGCATCTTATGAAAACATTATTTAGCAAAGAGTGTGCCAGTTGTATACAGAATATGGACAGTGGAAGTCTTGGCCTTAGTCTGGCTTTCAAAGACCACTTTTTAGGTGACTAATTTGTGTTGTTTAAATTTATATATCTTACATGTCTGTTTTTACTCTTTTGTAGCTCACAAGAACCAAAGGGTCCTAAAGGATGAATGATAGAATGGTATTAATGTTATTAAGGCCCCATTGAGCTTTTAGTAATGATAAGAAACATTCTCGAACCTTTAATATATTCCGGACTGTATTTTGACCTACTATTCATGTCCAATTCTTCCTAATTTATGAAACATAACAAAACAAATGTTTAGCTTCTTAGAAAATATGTCCTTTCTATGCTTTCATAAAATTATTGGGCTAACAAGCTAAAAGCTATTTAATATAGTTTGATGGTAACTTAAACCTCAAACTCCTTTACCTGATGGATGAAAAAATATCTTTCATTCAGATAACTTTATTTTATAGACAGCTTGGCCGTGGCATTATAGATATAAGTATATATGAACTAATATCTTTAAATATATATATATATCTTTTTAGAGTCTGAATTCCTGAAACACCTTGACTGCAAATTTGGTGGAGCTATAGCTTTAAGACAAGATAAATACAATGATAAACAGTCTGGTATGAATATAATTATTTATAATAAACAGTTAAACTGTTAAAATATTGTCACACTACTCAATTTTTCACAACACATTGGTAGGACACAATTTTTTTATGACAAATATGTTTTGTCAGGCCATCACAATTTTTATCCAGATTTTTCACAGTTGTCATGTTTGATCAAGTCTTGGGGTTACATTTGATAAAAATAATGTCATTAACATGCTGTGGATAGACCAGTGCATTATGAAGATGTTAAAGCTTATTCCCTGCAATGCCACACCAAAAAAAAATGGCACTGAAATTTTGCTTTATTAGTATGTAGATATCTCAGTCTTAATCCTTGTTATCATAAATACCAAATAATGATAAAATGTACTTTTCCAAATAGAATCTTTTCCGTTTAAATTGACACTTTAAAGAAATTAAGGATGTTGACTCCTCTGGGTTTTTGAATTTTTGTCAGATGTTCGGAATCCTCTGGTTTTATCCATGTAGTGCCATTAAAAAATTTTGACCATTAACCCCTACTTTTCTTTCCATAATTTGATTACATATAGTTTGAAATATAATCTTTTAAAATCTTATAAAATCCTTGTTATTTTTTCATCGTTTTCGAAAGAAAAAAGGTACCAAAAAAATCTAGTGAGAATTATTTCCCACCAAAATTTCAATGGATATATCTCGAAAACAAGCACACGGACCCTTAATTTTTTTCTGCTTTTTCAGTTTCTTTTATTCATTCATGTACTATAAAATTGAGAATGGAAATGGGGAATATGTCAAAGAGACAACAACCCGACCAAAGAGCAGACAACAGCCGAAGGCCACCAATGGGTCTTCAATGCAGCGAGAAAATCCCGCACCCGGAGGTGGTCCTCAGCTGGCCCCTAAATAAAATTGTGTGCTAGTTCAGTGAAAATGGACGTCACACTTAACTCCAAAACATATAAATGAACTAAAATTAAAAAACATACAAGACTAACAAAGGCCAGAGGCTCCTGACTTGGGACAGGCGCAAAAATGCGGTGGGGTTAAACATGTTTTGTGAGATCTCAACCCTCCCCCTATACCTCTAGTCAATGTAGAAAAAAAGAAACACATAGCAATACGCACAGTAAAACTCAGTTTAAAAGAAGTCCGAGTCTGATGTCAGAATAGGTAACATAAGAAACTAAGCAAACTGACAATGATACATAAATGAACAAAGAACTACTAGCAGTTACTGACATGCAAGCTCCAAACCTCAATTAAACTGATTGAAAGAGTATGTCTTCATCATATGAAAATCAAGTACAATCCCTCCCGTTAGGGGTTTAGTATCATACCATCATAAAATATATGAGAAGAACATAACCCGTATCATGTCAACAACTGGTTTTAGAATAAATGTGTTTATTTCCCATGCAAAGACCCTATGAGTGAATCAATATTAATACCAAAATATGCAATCCTTAATGACTTGACAACAATAACAGTCTTTTAAAAAGCTTGTTATTTTGAAACAGAGTAGCCAACATCTTTAATAACAAAGTTTAGTAAAATAAGTCTTGTTTCAACTTATAAGCTAGAAATCATTGAACCAATCAAAGTTTTTGCTATATACAGTATTGTACAGGCATTAAAGACCAAACAGCCTATTCAGTTCTACCAGTGATTTTTCCTTAAAATTTTGTGTGAAGGTATTTCATGATTTGAGGAACAAAATATGATAAAAAAAATTGGGGGTCACCGACTTAGTTTTGTCACTATAGCAACCTCAGTTTCGTGTTTTCCCGAATATTAACATGATATTTGCTTGTTATTTAAACTCTCAAAAAATCCCATTATATCAAACCTACAAGCATAATTCTTGTTTCACGTTAAACAGTAGATTTGTGTCTATCAAATACAAGTTCAAGAGTTTAAGACTCTTATTGTTTTGATCTTAAAAAATATGATTTATTTCATTCCCGCCAAAAATAAAACGCAAGAATGAAAAACGTTTCAAGTATTAAAAAATATCTACCAGTGATTTTTTCATAAAAATTTCAGGAAAGAAAGTGCCATGTGTACTCTTCAAAATAAAGCAAAAAAATGTATATGTCACCGACCTTTCAAAAAAGTTATGATGAATTTTCATGTTTTTTTCTCGTTCGTTTTGAAGAAAAGAGTTGTCTTTCTTCAGAACATTGAATCTGACGTCATAGTACAAGTTTTCATTGCTGGCGTACTGTTTGAAAAAAATTGCAAATTGGACGTTTGAAACCCACATTTAAATTTTCAAGAATCAAGAATAACAACTATATTCACCTACTTTATTATCCGGTAATACAAGAGATCATATGTATATATCAGTATCAGATCTCATGATGTTGTTGCCGCACAAAATTAACCTTCAGACAAATCATCCGTCGGAATGAAAAATTGTTCGAAATAACCTTTTACGACGCTTTAGAAAGGAAAGTCTAGATCTAGTTTTGTCCTCTCCCTCTCATTAGCTAAAACATTGGAAATAAAAAGAGAAATGAAAGATGACACTGGCTTACTTACAGACTATTTGACTATATTAGACTAGATGTGTGGGTTTTTTGTCACGTCAGTTTCAGAACTTCGCCCTAGCGCACTCTTTCGCTACTGTTGACAGACGGACAGACATTAGCACGGACGGACTTCTTTATACCATTATGTGTCCCGACTAAGACGAGCGTATACAAATTATTCCATCTAGTTTGTGGATTCATTATTTCTGAATATTTAAAATATAAGAAAATTAAAATTATAGGTATAATATATGAATTAAAGTTTTTGATTCTAAAACGTTTTACATCCATTTAACCTATCATAAAATACGATCCCCGTTATTACTACCTCACGTGTTTTGAATAAACGAGACAGTAAATATAAAATACAAATAAGTTTTTAATTCAAAAATTGGTTTAGAATCTAAGAAATAATTTTCCGTTGAAAACTATATAAAGTATTTCTCAAAACAGGATGAAATATTATGAATCTAAATAGCTCATTTTGGAAATTAAAACAACGACAAGGTTGTATGTATAGATTGCCGGCATTGAAAATCGAAATTTGTTTTCAATCTTTCCGGTCATTGTAGTTTTTTGAAAGTGAGAAATTTTATGTTGGATTTTATTCTTGAAGCAATTGTTTTTTGTCATAAGTTAAATTTACAACAAGTTTAGTTTTTAAAACCGTAAATTTTTATTTTAATTCACATTCACTGAGTATATATTTATTTCTTATATTTTTTGCCTTAAGCTTCTGTGAGATCAGGCGAAATCTTTATCATTTCCCCTTGAGACAATTTGAAATGAAACAAATGACAAAAGACAATGAACCTTTATCATTTTTATTTTTACTATAAGATTTTGTCAATTAAGCAGTATAGATAAAATTTAACTTCATTGCAAGATCACCATTATTTTACGAGAATCTTAAAGAAGAAAGTTAATCTCAACATGCATATAGCCAGTATATCGAAACTTCTAGAAAGTATTGTTTATCGGCCTAACCTTCTGAAAACTCAGTTTTGAAAATCACATATTAAGTTAAAACTCTAAGCGTAAGTCATATAAATTTACCAGTGTAAAGTTACACGGGCGTACGAGATTTGCGCCGATTTAAAAAAAAATTTCGATGTTTAATTTGATTCTTTCATTAGCGCCTATTTTATTTTTTTATCACTAGCCCCGATACTTTATTTGCTATACGAGTAAATACATGTACATGTAGTAAACCTAGAATGTATATTGCATGGTAATATATGGATATAAATAGTGTTCCCTTATGTTTAAGATAATGTTGGTCATATTGTTCGAGAACTTCGTTTTGACACGAGAAAGAAAAGATGGACTTCGTTATTGGCAAGTACAACAAGTATAGAAAAGATAAAATGACAAGAAAGGAATATATCAGATGTGTGGCATATAAATTCTCGGCAAGATAATAATTCATTTGTACTAGTATTACATTTTTATGGATTTTATTGTGGTGCTTTGAAATGCTGTAAATAGAATTTTACTCCGTGATTTTAGTGGATGTAAACAGTGCACAAATATCTTTTAAATTGACCTATCTTGCTCGAAATTCTACTCCCACCTCCCTTTTGTGAGCAGGGGACAACAGTTATATACATGTTATAATTGACAATTCAAAACATATGTACAACTGGCTAACGGAAGAGGTTTATATGATAAATAAAAAAATAACTTTCACCTATAATTTACCTGTACACAATCGGCGCAAATGAAAGACAAAATCGGCGCAAGTGAAGGAAAAAAAGTGAAATGCAGATCGGCGCAAATGCAAAAAGCCGAGTTCAAAATTTATATTTTTATTATTATTTTTATTAGAACGGAGGTTACAGATAGTGTAGTATCTTTTGTGTCCATTTGTGTTTTATTTCCACTAGGTATCAGTGCGACGCTTAATTCTACTTTTCTTGGAAGACGTAGTTTTAAGCGTGTACTATGTTGGAATCCGTTAAAAACGCGAAATAGGACGTTATAATTTGACGTTTTTTTTCATGGCTAGAAACAACGTCATAGAGCTTTTATGTCACTACCAAGTTGCGTTAGTTGATGCGCATCAACAATAGGCTGTTTGGTCTTTAAATGAAATTTGCAGAAAATTGAAGGTGAACATTATCTTCAAATTTAATGATACTCCAAAGTTATCAGCACATGTGCTAGATTTTAGATTTAAATAAAAATTACTTTACTTGAAAGCATCTGGAATGACAACAACCATAATGATATCCCAAATTGAAGGAATAGGAACGTTAAGGGATAGTTGTTGTTACAATGTGGAGATTAGAAAAAAAAATATATATCACATGACATTTTTCTATGGAAACGCCGAGATTTTTACACAGGCACATTAAGCAAATGTAATGATTTAATTGGATTCCCACATAAAAAAGTCGACTACACTGTTCCAGTTTGACTTCCTCACCCTGTTGAAAACCTATAGTATGGTGACATCATCCATATGTTGATGTTTCTTGTAGACAATGTTGTACTGATCCCTACAATGCATAAAATTTTTACATTATCATGTGACGTTTGTGTGTAAAATGCTATGACTCAGCAAAATGGACTATCTTGGAACTAAAGTATGAGTGTACATAAGAGTTGCTTTGCGCATGTCTGTCCTTTGAATCTTGAAAGCACAACTTTTCAAATGATTTCAAATATTCAATGAAATTTCACCAAATTTGTTAATTTAGAGTTATAAGCTTGGACATCTGTAACTGTATTTTATGTCCTATAAAATAGAATCTATTTATTTAGTGTTTAGTCTTATAATGACTTGCATGAAGCAGAGAAAATAACTGTTAGGTCAAATGAAAACTAATATTTATATTTACTAAACACAGTACTTCAGAAAATGTGTATTGATGGTTTTCTAATAATTCTTTGTGTACTATTTGCAGTAGAACTTATATGGGGACATACAACAGACAGCATGTGTATAGGTTTTATGTCTTTATCAGATAAAAAACCAAAGGTAAGATTTTTCCTACCATTAGATTGTAAATTAACTTGAATGTTATCTTCTGAACATCTTTTCATAATCTGCAAACACTATTGAATCATTGATATCTTAGTTCTGATTAGACCACACCTGTCAGGCAGACTTATGCAGCTAGCAAATCTATGGATTAGAATAAATTTTGATATGTTGCATACATAAATTTTTGTCAGGACTTAGAAATTGATACACAGTTTGGAGGTCTTTTTATATTCTTTACATGTTTCATATAGTAGATAAACCTATGAATAAGAATTGACAATAGTGTTTTATCAGTTAAAAAAAAGATACATGGAAACAGAAAATTCAATATCTATCTATCCTCTACTTGCATTTTATAAAGACAAATCTGTTGTAAATTTACATCTACTTTTAGGTATTCCTTTCAAGACTTCCACCACAGAGCATACCTGGAAAATCATTCACAATGGAAGGAAGACAGATTTATAAATAAAATCATTTTGGGCAATTTTATTTTGTATCGGTGCAAAACTATTATCTAGATATTTTGAAACACGGCCATCCATCTGTCTAGACACATTTATTACATTGAAGACTAAGGTGTATTTAGTTTTATAACATGAATCAGAAAATCCTAAAATTTTGTAAGGAAAGACAAGCTATACTAAAAAATATTGTACTTAACGGTTAGTCTTTCATGAAAATAACATTTCTCTTTGTGATGGAACCTAATCAGCTATCTTCATTTTCATGAATTCAACAGGTTCACTTGATAATTACCATAAGAAAGTTTTTTCTGGATAGTAATTTTTGTCAAGCCTGTGACTTTTGTCGCAGAAAGCTTGACATAGGGATAGTGATCCAGCGGCGGCGGCGGCAGCGGCGGCGGCGGCGGCATTAGCTAACTTCTTAAAAGCTTCATATTTTAGAAGCTAGAAAACCTGGATGCTTCATAGTTTGTATATAGATGCCTTATGTTACGAAGTTTCCGTCTGTTATATGTCCATTGTCCTTGACCTCATTTTCATGGTTCAGTGACTACTTGAAAAAAAAGTCAACATTTTTTGTAATGTTAATTTCTTTCTTATTATGAGTAATAGGATAACTATATTTAGTATGTGTGTACCTTGCAAGGTCGACCTCGACCTCATTTCATGGATCAGTGAACAAGGTTAAGTTTTCGTGGTCAAGTCCATATATCAGATACTATAAGCGGTAGGTCTACTATATTTGGTATATGGAATGATTTTAAGGTGTACATGTCCAACTGGTAGGTGTCATCTGACCTTGACCTCATTTTCATGGTTCAGTGGTTAAAGTTAAGTTTTTGAGTTTTGGTCTTTTTTTCTAATACTATATGCAATAGGTCAACTATAAATGGTGTATGGAAATATTTTATGATGTACATGTCAGTCTCACAGGTTTTATTTGACCTTGACCTCATTTTCACGGTTCATTTCTCAGTGTTAATTGTTTTTGTTTTGGTCTGTTTTTCTTCAACTATAAGCAATAGATCAACTATATTTGATGTATGGAAGGATTGTAAGGTGTATATGTCTGTCTGGCAGGTATCATCTGACCTTGACCTCATTTTCATGGTTCATTGGTCAATGTTAAGTTTTCATGGTTAAGTTTGTTTCTTAGATACTATAAGCAATAGGTCAACTATATTTAATGCCTAAATTGATTGTAAGGTGTACATGTCTGTCTTGCATGGTTCATTTGACATAGACCTTATTTTCATGGTTCATTGGTCAATGTTAAGTTTTCTTGTTTAAGACTGTTTCTTAGAAACAATAAGTAAGAGGTCAACTATGTTTGGTTTATTGAATGATTGTAAGGTGTACATGTATTTCTTGTTTGGTTTATCTGACCTTGACCTCATTTTCTTGGATCATGTTAAGTGTATGTGTTACTTGTAGTAAAGCTTTGTATTTAGGACTATCAACATAAATCAATGGTTAGTAAAGAAGGCGAGACATTTCAGCATGTGCACTCTTGTGATAATTATTTGCAGGTTTCAGTTCTGTTTTCCTATTAATAAAATAGGCAAACATGGTTTCAGATAACCAAGACATCTTAGATAGGTAAGGGAGTTATTGCCCTGAAATTAGGGTTTTTTTGTTGTTTAATTTTTCCATTTTTCCTATTATATTAACTTGTAAACTAAAAGATAGACAGAAAATGTGAACTGCAAAAAATGATCAGCAATAGAAGATCTATATTTAAGTCATATGGCTGAAAGTGCTAATTAACTATTGATCTTTGGTGTGTTAAGATTTTAGCGCTTGGAATATGTGTTGAAGATACCAATATAGCTATTGTGACGGGATTGCATTCCTTCGGTAGTAGATACTAAGCCAGCCATAAGAGGTTGAGCTAGGGAAGTACTTCTTTAACTCGGCCTGTTAGAACACTGCGTTGTTACACAAAGATCCAGAGTAAACAAAGTGAATTTGTATTATGATTCATGCTCTCCAATTTTGATGATTTTTGCTTGCTTAATATTCAATGGCAATTAAATTATTCATATTCTGGACAAGAAAAATTTGTACAACTTATAAATATAGTAGGTACTATTTTTAGTTGATGAAGAGAATAGTTGAGTACTTTGCCACTAGACAACAAATAGTAGGGTCAACAGTTAAACTATAGACTCCACATAAAGAGTTGTCATAACGGTTTTATAATTTTTAGAAACAAATTGATTGATTGGTAGTTAACGCCACCTTCTGCACAATGGTCAATTTTTATTGGTAGAGAAAGCCGGCAAGAACCACAGACCCTAGGCAGGAAAAATGACAATCTAGTCAATTAAGATTGGAGTTGAGCACACCTGCCACTTACAGGGTTGGAACTCACAACCTCAGTGTTGACAGGCTAGTGATACTGCAGTTTGACTACCGAGACCACTCAGCCACTGCACAGAAACTGTGGCACTTTCAAAGCATAGTATAAAAGGTTAAAATTGCTCTTTCCAACTCGACAAGGCTGTGTATTTTTACACCCCTGTCAAATAACTCTACCGTAAGTGAAAGTCCTTCTGCTTTCAATGATACATTAAGGTCTCATGATTTAAAAGTTACTATGTTTCTGAAGTTCTGTTATCCTATGTGTAAGCCAATTCAGATTAATGATGGGGAAAAACTCCATTAGTGTTTTTCAACTTTCACAATTGCATCAATTCACCCATACTTGCCAACAACTAAGGCCATCATTACTCAAGATTTTTTTTGTCTTGCCTGCAATGAGTCACAGAATTCGTGATATAGGGAAACCAATCCAGCAATGGATGGGGATAGCATAAACTATTTGTATAAAGCTATATAATTCAGAGGGTAGAAGCCCTGGATGCTTCATACCTCGTATGCAGATGCCTTTAAAATGTTATGAAGTTTCCTTCAGCATTGTCCCTGACCTCATTATCATGGTTCAGCAACTGCTTGTTCAAAAATTATATTTTGTCATATCAGGATTCACCTGACCTTGACCTCATTTCATGAATCGGTGATCAATGTTAGGGTTTTGTGGTCAAGTCTGTATCTCAGCTACTATAAGCAATAGGTCAACTATATTTGGTGTGTGGAATGATTGTAATGTGTACATGTCAGACTGGCAGGTTTCATCTAACCTTGACCTCATTTTCATGGTTCATTGGTTGATGTTAAGTTTCCATGGTTTTGTCAGTTTATCAGATACTACAAGCAATTAGTCAACTATATTTGGTGTATAGAATGATTGTAAAGTGTACATGTTGGTCTGTCAGTGTTCATCCAACTTGACCTCATTTTCATAGTTCATAAGTTAATGTCAAGTTTTCATTGTTATGTCTGTTTCTCAGATACTATAAATAGTAGGTCAACTATAATTATGCTGGTATGGAATGATTGCATGTGGTATGGCAGGGTTCATCTGACCTTGACCTCATTTTTATGATTCATTCGTCAATATTCTGTTTATCTGAGATATATTCCATAAGATTGACACTCAATGGAGTAGGTTAACAAAGGGTTAAAATAATCTGAAAATCTATGAAAATTCCAACAATATACCCCTTTTACATAGTAGCATAATAAGGCTAGAAAAACTGATAAAAGTGACCATACAAATTTCTCCAAGTAATGGTGAACAACTGTTCAAATTCCTTGCATTTCAAAGTATACTGTAGTAGAAACAATGTTTACATTTTCCCCTACATCCTGTATGGCTATAATTGCATATAAAGTTGATACATATGACCTCATTAGATAGAATGGTGTACAACAATCCTGTCTTTTAAAGATGAAGTTACTTTTCCATCTGAAGAACATAGGAATAATTTGTGGAGACCACTATGGATTTACTTGAATTATAAAAATACAATGATTCATATTGCTCCTTGAAGCCTTTACATCTAGAATATTATCACATGTTTTATATTGAAATGTTGACCTGATGGTGCATCCTGATATTAATTGCAATATTTATTATATTGACATTTTTACCTTATAAAACTACTGTGAGCCTTGATAGTTTTTATTAAAGCTTTTTTCATAAAGCTTTCACTTTCCCTATGAATTTTTTCATACACCCTGTCTATGACTTCACTATAAAGCAAAAAAAAAATTACTGTTATTATTATATTTTATTGCCAGCAATAAATATTAAATCACTAAGAATGTTTGTCTTCATCATTAGAAATATCTTTCTCCTTGGTATCTTCATTTATTTTATGTAAATCAGCAAAGGAAACTTGACCACTACCTCTCTTCGCTGGTTTAGCCTATAAAATAAAATGTGAAGATTGTGAAAAATCAGCATCAAAGAATATCATTTAAATATGCAATTTAAGTGTATATGGATTATACCACTGCATAAAGTGAAATGTGATAATTCTCTACTTGTGGTATTTAAATATTTAAAATTTAGATAGATAGTAGAATCTCTTTCTCTAGTTATTTTTTAGTCAACATAGGTACAATAATATGCAAAAATATACATTCTTCCTCAAGCTTCCATCAGACATCGTCACCTTTATTTGTGATGTCACCAGAGCAAAATCAGTGGAGACCAAGAAAATTTGACCCTAATAACAAATAAACTGTTGACACAGAGATATGTCTCTTCTGTTGGTAGAAAATTCAGAAAAAGACAATCTGATGGACAGCAACATGATTTATTTATTCCGACGCTGGACCATTTTCTAGTAGGCATGGCCTGAAAATAATCGTCAATCTGATATGTACTGATAGTAATGCAACTTTATACTTTTTATTTCCTTCGAAACCCTTTAGTAATGTGTTCTTCATATGCAAGGGTAATAATAGGCTTATATATATATATATATATATCATGATTATATAAGGAATTCTTCATAATTTTTCAAATTCCTAAATAAATATTTTTGATTGGCTACCACTGTTCTAAATGTAATTACCACTTTAGAAACTTATTTTCAATAAATAACAAAAAGGTGGAGAAAGGATCTCTTTTAGAGTACCTACATCAAATTATTTTGCTTTCTAAGCTATGATTTGTTGTGCTCATATGCATTGGTATAAACACAAGTATTAGGAGTACAGAGTGAAATGAAAACTCAAACTGTGTTGAAAAACTAGGGTTGATTCTTTTATCATTCTTATGCAAGGTGCAAGTATAATTATACAATTTGTAAAACATGAACTTAACCAAAAAGAAGTTGTTTAATGACTCTGATGAGGTGCTGGGGGACAGAGGGTATTTGCTGTTCGTCAACAAATAAACTGTTATTACAGAGAGATGTCTCGTCTTTTTGTAATTTTGATAATGCAAATGTTGAAATTAAAATAGCAATACTTTAACATGTAAGTTATGCAAATATTCAAAGTCAATGAACCATGACTGAAGGTACATGGCTAAACAATCTCCATGGAATGAGATGTGCCAATGCTAATACAACTGCATACCAAATACCATTGACTTATTATAAGTTGTTCCCTTTAAACAAACCTAAACACGAACATTAACTTGTAAACTATGTAAAAGTTTCAAAGTCAATGAACCATGATCAGGGGTGGGGCTATATAATCTCCATGGAAATGATACTTGCAAATGCCAATAAATTGGCATACCAAATATCATTGACTTAACATTAGCAGTTCATCTTAAACTGATCTATTATCACAAACTAATACATGTAAACTAAGCAAAAGTTTCAAAGTCTATAGACCATGACTAAGGGGGCGGAGCCAAATAATCTCCATGGAAATGAGATATGCCAATGCATATACAACTGCATACCAAATATCATTGACCTACCACTAGTGTTTCCCCATAAATTGACCTAATCACAAACTAATACATGTAAACTATGAAAAGTTTCAAATTCAATAGACCTTGACTGAGGGGGCGGGGTCAAATAATCTCCATGGTAATGAGATGTGCCAATGCTAATACAACTGCATACCAAATATCATTGACCTACCACTAGTGGTTCACCATGAACTAGACCTAATCACAAACTAATACATTGTTGACGCCGCCGCTGCCGACGCCGGAAACAGCATACCTATGTCTCGCTTTTTGACTCTGTCAAGGCGAGACAAAAATGACAGCCTTGGGGGTAAATCTAATGGCTTTATAATATAATCCTATGTAAGATTTCCTAGTCACCCAGAAATCCTTATTGACTGATTGACTGACATATTAAAAGGCAATGGACAAACAGAAAGACAAATGGGTAAAAAATCTTATACCTCCACAATTTTGTAGTGTTGTGAATGATAAATAAAAATACTGATACTTAATTATATATAAGCAATGACTGATAATTTACAATTCATTTATAAATCAATAAACAATGGAAGTTATATGTGTTGATGTTTCTTACCAATAATTGCTTGCCATGTATTTTAAACACCGATATATAGCTAGGTAAAGGTGATGTCCAATAAACCAACAGTCAAATTGTAAGAATAGCAAGAATGTCAGTTTGATCACATAAAGGCCATATTCCATTCATGATAAATTGATCTGTTAATGACTAAATGACAAAATTACCATTTTTCATAATTTCAAACGACTGACTATTTCTCATATACCGGTATGTCCAAATTTCAGGTTTGATTTGTAAACATTACCATTTATAAATCCAAAAAGTCAAAATGTTTCCTTTTTCTTTAAAACAGATTGGTCTGCAATATTTTTGTATAATTCTTATTTTCCTCAAGCAGGAAAGATCATTATATCAAAATTTCTGAAAGGCCAGTGAACTTGAATCAAACAAAAACCAGTTTGCTGGGTGCAGCTTCAAACGACCGCAGAGGACGAACCATGAACAGTTTGGGCAAGTATGGACACTACATTCAAATTTGGACTTACCTATTATGGTCCAATATCCAAAATCTAAATATAAGGTTAGATTCAGCATATCATAAAACCCCAAGAATTTTAATTTTTTGATGAAATCAAACAAAGTTTAATTTTGGACCCTTTGGACCTCAATGTGGACCAATTTGATAACAACGCCCAAAATCTAAATACAGTTAGGTTCAGCATATCAAAGAACCTCATATATTCAATTTTTGTTGAAATCAAAGTTTAATTTTGGCCCACGATTTGGACAGACTTGAAAACTGGGCCCAAAATCAAAAATCTAAGTACAAGGTTAGATTCATTATATCAAAGAACCTCATATATTCAATTTTTGTTGAAATTAAATAAATATAATTTTAGCCCCCCATTTGGACCAACTTGAAAACTGGGCCCAAAATCAAAAATCTACATAAATGTTTAGATTCAGCATATCAAAGAAAGTTTAATTTTGGACCCTTTAGACTTTAATGTAGACTAATTTGAAGACAGGCCCCAAAAATCAAGACGGTTCGATTCAGCATATCAAAGAACCCCAAGAATTCATTTGTTTTAAAATTAGACAAAGTTTAATTTTGGACCCTTTGGACCTTAATGTGGACCAATTTGAAGACAGGCCCCAAAATTGAAAATCTAAATACACGGTTAGATTCGGTATATCAAAGAGCACCAATATTTCAATTTTTGATGAAATCAAACAAAGTTTAATTTTGGACCCTTTATATCTTATTATGAACCAATTCAAAAATAGGTTCCTAAATTCCAAATTCTAAAAAAACGGTTAGATTCAGTATATTTAAAAACCCCAAGAATTCCAGACTTTGAATTAAACCCCATTGAAATTGGTCAAGAAATAAGCAATTTATACAAAGTATTACAAAAGTATTGTTTTGGCCCCTTTTTCCTTAACAGTTTGGGTCATAACCCCCAAAATCAATCTCAACCTTCTTTTGATGGTATGGAACCTTGTGGTACAATTTCATAGGGATCCGTAGACTTATACTCAAGTTAGTGTCCAGAAACCAGATAATCCTAGTTTGAGGCCCCTTTTCGACCCCTAATTCTTAAAAGGTTTGAGTCATGACCCCCAAAATCAATCCCAACCTTCCTATTGTGTTATGGAACTGTGTGCTACAATTTCATAGAGATCCATACACTTATACTCAAGTTATTGTCTGAAAACCAAAATGTCTTTGGACGACAAATGTCTGTGGACGACGACACAGTCTTCGCCCTAACATAATACAAACCCAAAAATATTGCGGTCGTATAAAAATTACCTGAGAAGGATCTGGTTTCCATCCTATAAAATTTATTATTTGGAAAGTTGCAGGGATACCACCTTCTTTACCAAACATTTCTGAAATGAAGTTACATATTGAGTGCATTGTATTTATGGTTTCTATAATGTTATTTTTATGTTCCTGAATATCATCAGGAATATCTTTCTGGATGTTTGACTTCTTATAATGTAGTTTCAGTAAAAAAATATTGATGTTCCACCATTCAAAAAAACATAACTGGATATATATCTTGTCAGATTAGGATTTAGAGCCATACATATGCTTTTAATTGTCAAAATAAGGGATACGGAAATCCTCATACAATTAATAAACTTAATTCAGAAGTATTTCTTGCCTAAATGACAAAATCACATACATGCAAAGACAAAAATAGGCCAAAGCCTCAGTCTCATTTGTATATACCCAAATAATAAAATTTTCCATTGGTACATTCTCTTATTTTGCTAGTTTTCAAAAGGTGAGTTTAAAGCTCTGAACACCTGCCAAAATAACCCAAACCATAATTTTTTGTGATTTTGAGTGTTTGCAGTTAAATTTTTCTCCTTGATTTTGAACCTTGTAATTTATTGTTCATATCTTTATTATGTAACTTGTTCTATCAAATTGTCATACCTTTATATTTTTCATTAGCTAGTTTTATAGTATTTCTATGCAACATAGGCTTCCTTGACCAGGCACAATTATTTTCTCCCATTCCTGAAAGATAAAAAGATAGATTGCTATCAATAATACTGCTATTTTAAAGAAATTTCATGTTCATTCAAGAATTTCAAACAAAACAGAAATGATAGACATTTTTATTGTAACTCCACAGACACTTTATAGCACCTCAGAAAGACTAAAGTGGTTTTCCAAACAAAAAGTAAAAGAAGTCAAATTGACCCATACCAATGCCATTCAATTTTAAAGCATTACATGATAAAATATATTTTTATATATGATGAAGACATAATCTTTCAATCAGTTTAATTGAGGTCTGGAGCTGGCGTGTCAGTAACTGCTAGTAGTCTGTTGTAATTTATGTATTATTGTCATTTTGTTTATTTATTTTTTTTGTTTTGTTTTTTTTGTTTCCTATTCGACATCGGACTCGGACTTCTCTTAAACTGAGTTTTACTGTGCGTACTGTTGTACTGTTGTACGTTTGTTTTTTCTACATTGGCTAGAGGTATAGGGGGAGGGTTGAGATCTCAAAAAAACATGTTTAACCCCGCCGCATTTTTGCGCCTGTCCCAAGTCAGGAGCTTCTGGCCTTTATTAGTCTTGTATCATTTTTAATTTTAGTTTCTTGTGTATAATTTGGAGTTTAGTATGGCGTTCATTATCACTGAACTAGTATATATATTTGTTTAAGGGCCAGCTGAAGGACGCCTCCGGGTGCGGGAGTTTCTCGCTGCATTGAAGACCCATTGGTGGCCTTCGGCTGTTGTCTATTCTATGGTCGGGTTGTTGTCTCTTTGACACATTCCCCATTTCCATTTCCATTCTCAATTTTAATTTTATTTGCATACTGAATTTTCACAAACATAAAGAAGAAGGGGTATAATAAGAGCCATTTGTTTTACGTCTGAAATTGAAAATAGTGCTATTTCCTCCTTTCAAATTATTCTAATTTTATTTATAAATCAATAGGATGATAATCTGGTAGTCTAAACACTCCAGTGCTGAAATTTTAATTATACTGTCACTACAATGTCATGAGCAAGTTAAAAATTGATAAAATGGCCATTTAAATAATTTTACGTATTTTTTTGGCAAACTCAGATATGAGCCACAGCCTCCTCAGCCTCCCAAATATTTGAACCACATCAACATCTTTGTACAAGACATCTATTTGCTAAAAGTCTTTTTAGGTAAGACTGTGGTTCATAGATAAATATCAATGAAAAGATCTCATTGTGAGTCAGCTTTTTAATTGAATGAAAGAAGTTTGAACCCTTTTAGCAAATATGTCAGATAAAATTCAAAAACATAAATAATGAAATCTGACAAACTTGTGAACATTTGAGGGACATTATTTGATAGATGAATAATACTTTTTTATTTAAAATTTCAAGTTACCAAAAATGGTCTTATTATACCTTTTCTTTTACTTACTGTAAACCAACTAATTTTCACAGATACTTTATTTCGCATTAAGCCCTTTCTAGTCCACTTTGCTGCGATTTAATTTTGTGACGTTCTAATTTCCTTGATGTAGTTAAATAAGGAAAGATCTCAGTTTTACATATTCGCGACGATTTATATTCATGTTATTTTTCTACTCGCGAAAATTAGTTGGTTTACAGTATATATCACTTGAAAAGACTATGGTTGATAAGTGCCTCAATTTCTCAAATCTCTTGAAACAAGTTTAATACAAGATCATCTTAATTCAATTGTTTGGAAATATGAGCTACAAATCAAATAAGTACAGTTATCTCCCCTTCAACACTACAATGTTGTGATTGTATGCATATATCCACACAGTCTGATTGATTTTTCAAAAAAAAAAATACATTTCAAATTTCTAACCTTTGAGATCATGCATCAACTCTTTAATTCCAGGATAAATAACTGTCATTTCATCAACATCCTACAAACATAAAGCATAAATTGACATCTAATCTTTTCATGACTGATGTTATTTTCATGCTGGACAAGTGTCCTTTAAATAGCCTAATTATTACGGAATTATGTTGTAATTCTTAAATAGAAGAAGCTTTCCAAGTAGACATACTTATAACACTCTTTTTATTAGTTCTTAAAACAGCTGTTGTTTTCAAATTTTATTATTTGTCACTGGATGTTAAGAAAACAAGTCAATCATAATTAATTTTGCAATGTGCTTTCACATAAATATACTGGTTTATATGCAAATTTTGTAATTCTGAAATATATCATTTTAAAAAATATTTGATTAATTCTTTTTTAACATGAAATCTACATGTTTTGTTATACATCAATGATATAATGTTATATTCTTATTTCATTAAACATAAACAAAGAAGAAATGAAACGTTAAAAACTTTTTTGAAGACAAAAAATTACGTTTGCAGTGCAAATAATGAAACTGATATCCAAACAACACGGAAATAATTCTGAAATATATCTGTGACATTGGTAGAGCAATTAAAATTCCTATATGCAAGTGATTAAATTCCAGTCTTTGATATATTTAATTCAAAATTTACATTTTAAGCTTTAAATGAAATATAAATAAACTTAAAAAAAAAAAAAAACTCATTCAATAAATAGTATTCACTTATTATATGAAAGAGTGTAATATAAAATGACTTACTTACTATAGTTAGTAAGGTGAAGCCAGAATTATTTAATAAACTACCTAGATCTCTAACATCTGTAAACGGTGATATATGTGGTGCAAATCCCTGCAAAGAAAACTTGATACATTTAACATTTCATTATTTCAATATCATGAATATTGAGAAATAATAGAATAAATTCTTTTCAGTTCTGACTATATTCTTTTTTAGCACTTTTAAATTTAATCATATACATTTATACATCTTTGGCTGTCCAAATTAGTGACTGAGCTTTCCTGATTATGGTTAATCAGTTAAGCAATTTTAATCCAACACATTCAGTAAATTTAACAAAAACAGAAACAACAGAGCATATATGTTATGGTGATTCAATAAAACACTACAAAGGTACTATCTTTACCAAAAGTCATCCTTACACTGAAGTACAGTCAGTGAGAACCAAAGATAAACATTAATCTTGTGAACAGAAGCATTTGTCCTATTATGCTTACTAATTTCACAACAGTTAATACTTTACATACCCCTTCTAATTCTGTTTCAGCTAACTGTAATGAAACTCTTAATTCAAATAATGTGTCTCCTCCAAACATACATCCAATAAAAGCACCATCATTTTTTAAAGAGTTTTGCACCTGTAAAAAACATAGAATCAATCATGAATGTATGCATTATCTCCATCTATAATCAACATACATAAAACATAAGCAATAAAACAAAACAAACTTTGCAAACCAAAGGAAATAATGTGTGCTTTTTTTTAAACATTGTATAAAAATCACTAGATTAAGGTAGATTACAATTTACAATGTTTGGGCTTTAAAAGCACTAAAATTTGTATTGGGAGCCTCTCTTGGCACTTTGATGACTTGTCTACAGCAGTTTAACAGTTTCAATTGATGAATCAAATTGCAATTGGGAAAGGAAGAATTAACTGAAATAAGTGGAGAGAAACATTTAAAATCAAATCACAGTAACTGCAAAAAAAAAAACAACCTAATTTTATCAGTAAAAATACAGAAAAAAATTGAAAAAAAAATTTCCAAGTTTCCTTTGATTCAGTCTCCTGATCTTAAAAAAAGTTTTTTAAATTTTCAACGAAGGCTTGACAAAGTTAGTGATGTCTGAAAAACTCAAACCTTAATACTGTTTCTTAATGTAAACTTCAAAAAAATTTAAGTCCATTAGCTGTTAAATTCTGAAATTTATATATAATATTTTAAAGTTTTGCTCTGAGTTCTGTCTGTTTGTCCTTTTTGAATTTTAGATTATAAATGCTCTTTAACTTCATAATATATGATTTTGTTTTGTAACTGTTTTGATTCAAGTACCACTGATGGGTCTTATGTAAACCAAACGTGCATCTGGCATACCAAGTTTTGAAAAAAGTAGGTTTGTCAAAGCTTTATATTGACATCTAAAACAAGTAGTTCCGATCAATCTGACTTCAGCAGAAAATTTAACAATTGGTGACACGGTTAATGACGAAGACACTGCCCCGTCAGCCTGAAAAGCAACACCTATGTCTCACCTTCTGCAACATTTGTCACAGACGAGAAAAAAACTCTGTAACCACAGGCTGAACCTATTGTGGCTACTGACCGAATGTATGATCACTCTTGTCTAGTTTTTGCAACAAAATGTCGCAAGTTGGACAAAAAAAATCCATTGTATAATTTTGGTCTAGAAATATTCACTTTTGGGTTCAAAATTAGACACTTAAAACAGATTTTGTAATACTACGGTTCCATAATGGGGTAAAGTAGGATATCAAAATGTGGAAATAATAAACATCTAAATTACTTTTTCAAATGTTGTCTAATAGTTGCCAAGAGCATCTTGAAATTTTCATGAGCTGAAACCTAGAACGCCTATTAACATGTGATAAATGTTTTGTAATTTTTTTTATTTTTTTTTATTTTGATTATGATTTGTAAGTTTACTATGGTTAACTTTTACAAAAACTTTTACAGATGAACATATAAATAAATTAAGAGCATACAGTGGAAGGTAACAATTATACAGATGAACATATAAATAAATTAAGAGCATACAATGGAAGGTAACAATTATACAGATGAACATATAAATAAATTAAGAGCATACAATGGAAGGTAACAAGTAATATACATGTCATCAAGACAACAAAAAGAGAGCTAAGCTTGTTGTTACGTCTAAATACACCACATATGTTTGTCATGTCAGTGATGTCAGAAAAATAAACTTACTTGTCTAAAGCAACCAGGAAGATCATTAACCCAATGTAAACTGAAAAATAAAAACCAAACTATTTTCTTTTACATTTGTTATAAATCTCAATTGTTTAACTTCTAAATATCTGTATAACCTTGCTATTTGTGATCAGTTTAAATATTATTACGGTATTACTTGTATAAGATATCTGGAAAGAAGTTTCAACTGAAATTACAAAAGTAGTGATATGTTAATGAGATATTTACATATGGTAAACATATTGACCATCAATCTAAACCAGTCATATAAAGAAAGTTGAAAATTTACTTCATACAATATCTCCTTATCTTAAATGTAAATGAAGATTATCAAGAAACAATCATTTATCTCCATTACCCATACCTTAAATGCATTGGAATTGATAGTGTTACATTTTCATAGTTACTCAAGACCTTCTAATACTATCACTTTATCCTTATATTCTGAAAGTCTTCTGATAATTGTCTAAACAATGCATTAAATCTTTTTCCCTGACACTTAAAGCTTCCAGGAATTTCTTCTACAATTTTTGACTGAAATTAAAGTGTACCGTTTTATAATGTGCCTATATTTGAAAATCAATTAAAAATAAATGTGGATAGTGTCCACATGTGGACACAGATGATGCCCCCGCTTGCATATCATATAGTTATAAAGGGACATAACTGAAGAACGGTAAAAGTGACGCTAACCAAATTTGAACTTGATCTGAGTTTTGTGGTAATAAGCATTGTGTGTAAGTCTCATAACATTTGGTTGAGGCTAACTTAAGTAGAGAACAGAAACTAAAAATTCAGCAATTTTTCTATTTGTAAACACGCATAACTCTAGAACGGTTGTGTATACGTTTTATAACATTTGGTTGAGACAAACTAAAGTTAGAGAACGGAAACGAAAAATTCAGCAATTTTTATGTTTATAAATGGACATTACTCAAGAATGGTAAAAGTGTCACCACCAAATTTCGTACTTAATCTGTATTATGTAGTAATAAGCATTGTGTATAAGTTTCATAACATTTGGTTGAGGCAAACTAAAGTTAGAAAACAGAAACAAAAAATTTGTACTTGATCTTAGTTTTGTGGTAATGAATATTGTGTATAGATTTCATAATGTTTGGTTGGGGCAAACTTAAGTTACAGAATGGAAACTAAAAATTTTGCAATCTTTCAATTTATAAAGGGGCATAACTAAATAATAAAAGTGACACTACCCAAATTCAACTTGATCTGTGTTTTATCAGTGGAAGTCAAAATTAAACATTGCATTGTATAAAGCAATGATTGTAGTTGATTCAACTATAATCATGGACAAAGGAAGATAACTCCAATTTTAAAAATTACTTGATATTTAGAAGAAAATAAAAATTTTGCAATTTTTCCATTTATAAAGGGGCATAACTCTAGAACAGTTAAAGTGACACCACCAAAATTCAAACTTGATCTGTGTTTTGTGGTAATAAGCATTGTGTATAAGTTTCATAACATTTGGTTGAGGCAAACTTACGCTAAAGAACGGAAACTAAAAATTTTGCAATTTTTCCATTTATAAAGGGGCATAACTCTAGAACGGTTAAACTGACGCCACCAAAATTCAAACTTGATCTGTGTTTTGTGGTAATAAGCATTGTGGAGAAGTTTCATAACATTTGGTTGAGGCAAACTTAAGTTAGAGAACGGAAACTAAAAATTTTGCATTTTTTCCATTTATAAAGGGACTTTACTCTAGAACGGTTAAAGTGACACCACCAAAATTTAAACTTGATCTGTGTTTTGTGGTAATAAGCATTGTGTATAAGTTTCATAACATTTGGTTGAGGCAAACTCAAGTTAGAGAACAGAAACCAATTTCGGGACGTACGGACGGACGTACGGACGTACGTACAGACGGACAAGGGTAAAACTTAATGCCCCCACCGCTACGGCGGATCTGTGTTTTGTGGTAATAAGCATTGTGTATAAGTTTCATAACATTTGGTTGCGGCAAACTCAAGTTAGAGAACGGAAACCAATTTCGGGACGTACGGACGGACGTACGTACAGACGGACAAGGGTAAAACTTAATGCCCCCACCGCTACGGCGGGGGCATAAGCGGGGGCATAAAAATCTACCTTTTTTTCAGTTAGTTCAGATGTTATATTTCACCTATTGATAAAAGACCAAATATCATTTTTTTTCTCCATTTTATCATTTTATATTTCAGTGTCTATAAATAAAAGCTATTTATTCTAATCCAATTCATCAAAACTGACACTTTTGGTGGCAACACTGACTCATCAGACCAAATTGACATGTTGCTATGCCTTTTGATAATGATTCAGTACTTCACTTACATATTCAAGAAATGACGAGTTCTGGTTCGACACCAAAAGGTGTATTTTCAATACAATACTGTAAATTCAGAAATTATTGCGAGGTTTTTATTATTGCGAATAATGCGACAAGGTGAGTATCGCAATAATAAGAACTCGCATTCAGATATCTGATACATACATTAGTATGTAGATTTTCCTGAAATCGCAATAAATAGTCTCACATTTTTGTCCATTCTCCAAAAATCGGAATAATAAATGCACGCAATAATTTCTGAATTTACAGTAAATAATAATGTTCATGATGTTCATACCTTAAACTACTAACATACATATCTATAGAGTTTTCTTTAAATGGTATAAATTCTTCATCTACAACCATATGATGTGTTATAACATCTTCTGGTTTTTCACATTGTTTCTGTAAAAGAGAACAGAAAGGCATCATGCTTGTGCTCTCTGACATTTTTGTATGCATTTATAAAATAAACAATTTTCACTGAAATGGCTAAACCACTTGACAGAGTCTTTATTATTATGAAGTAATTTTCTACTAATTTTCTACAAGGAAGTCAAACTCCTAAAAATAAATACTTACAATCTCCTCATAAACACTGCATTGTCCTAATGAAGAATAGCTATGCTTACCAGTAGTAATTCAGTTATTTCACACTGGTAGACAGTCTTTACCATTTCTTTCTGGAGATGTTTTGAAACATATCCTCTACCACAGCCCAAGTCTACAAGAACATCAAATTCCCTGCAATTGAAAAAATACATTTTTACATATTCAAAAAGTCTACATGATTTTTATGCAAACTTGTTATTGCTGTCTGTTTGATTATTGCTAACTACACATTCATTATCTGAGTTGAACCCAGTTTAAGGCATAGTTTTTATTGCTCATTCTTTAGTTGTGTAGTGCTTTGTGCACTGTTGTTTGTCTGTTCATCTTTTACCTTTTGACAATAGTGTTGGTTTTATTTATACTTGTGCCTTGTGTTTTTTATTACCAAAATGGTTGCTTCTTTCTACTTTTTAAGTCTGCATAAATTAAACTACATAATTTTGATGTCTTTCAACATATTATGTTTCTTAATCGATGTTGAAGGCACCCCAAAAATAAAAGCAGTCATACATGTTAGAAAACTATTTTATTAATAAATATTATTTTTAAATAACAAATTCATAGGTACATGAGTTTTAGCTCATTTTATGAGTCATGAACCTTTATTTTTTCCTCTTTTTGTTACTTATTTACCTAAAATCAAAATTAGACTTCTGAACACGAAATAAATCTAAAATTTCAAGGTTTTATTAAATACATTGTACATCTACCTTACCATTATACATGTTATAAGGCACAGCTAAATAAAGTTTTATACAAAAATAATGATCTAAAAAAGAAGCATAAACTTTATATAAATCTACTTTACCTTTTTATGTCACATATTCTATCAAAAGTTCTGTATCCAATCTAAAATACAATAAAATAATTTAAACAAAACTTGCCTAATTGTGATTCCCAAATTACAGTATTGCTGTCAGAAATTTCAAATGGCATCCGGGTAAACAAAATTTTATAATGAAACAAAATTTTATAATGAAACCGTAGTCTAGTTTGGTATTAGTTGATGTGCACTCGACATTTCTTTTTAAGTCATTCTTAAGAAATTTGGGGTAAAAAATAGTTTTTGAAATCAATTCAATTGTGAATGCTCTGTAAATATTAGACCAAATGACTGAAATATACTCTATGTTCTCTACATTTTAGCACCTCATTATTCTTAATTTTATTTTTTGGTCCATTTTTCTCTTTGCTGTTTTGTTTTCCCCATTATTCTATATTCAATTCTGAAACAAAACATGCTCTAGTCCTCATTACCTCTAATTACTTAAAATGTTAGAAATTTGAACTAAAAATTGAAATTTCCCCTTGTAGAGATCATCTAACATTCTAACAGTGAATCTAAGTGAAGGTGAAAATAGAAAAATATGGAAAAACGGAATATAGTCCTTGCAATAGAGGAAAATCCAGAAAAAACTCTTTGGACACAGGATATTAATTAGAGTGATATAGATGCAGATGTCAGTCAGGGGAAATACTTATACAAGTGTTTTTTTTCTATTAACTTGTACAGGTAAATTATTTTGGAGGTAGAGTTATATCCCTTAGACATTCAGATTTTTACAAACAAATTATACGAGTAAAAAAGTCTTATTCTTCTCTTGAATTCATCTTGACTACATTGCTCTAATGGTGTTTAATTGTCTGTCATGAATAGTTGTCCTTACTATTCATAAAAGTATAATTTCATGGACAATGAAAATCCCATTTGTCTGTTATCTTCAAAATATTGCTAATTTACAACCCTCCAGGGAGCAATTTTTGAAGGCCTTGCAGAGTTACAAAATGTACATTTACTACATGTAAACATCTGTGTGCAGTAGATTTTCTTTGTTAAGTTTTTGAGATAAAAAGATTGAACTTTAATAAAAAAAAATAATTAACAAACCACAAAAATAAAGCTAAGGCATGTTTTGACTTTCCAAAACTTGAGAAATTAAGGAGTTGTAAAAAATAAAAGAATTACTTGCACAAGTAAATTTTTGGGGAAGACTAAGGGGAGATAATTCAAACCTTGAAAAGAAAAATCTTACAAATAATTTACTTATAAAGGTATGTATTACCATTATTACCTGATTGGATGTACAGGACCTGTTTAAGAGTATTGAAAAATGTATAAAATTTATTAATACTTTTAAACAGTTGAAATAATGATTCTATACTATAAGTTCCACCATTGAAAGTTCTCTGTGGGTGATTCCTAAACATATATATAGTAACATTTTTGTGTGTACAAGCCAGGACATTATGTCTCTTTGGCAGCAAGAAGGCTACAAAACAGCGAGCATTTTGTTGTCAGCTAATCTTAGCAAAATCTAACTACCTCTTCTTTTACGTAATCATACACTTTGTAGTCTTTCAAAAGTGTAGTCCGCTCTTTTTGAAGCTTCTTCGCATTTCTATCGAAAACATTCATAACTGTCTCTGGTTTCTTGGTTGCTAAACATCTCCTCAACATAAAATGTGGGTTCTTAATTGTTTTAGCACAGTTTCTGTATAGCCATGTAAGGTGGCACCAAGAACAACCAAATGATACAGTTAAGACCATGGTCACCTCTTTCACTTGGTTTGCAATTAGTGTTTATGACAATCAGACAGGACCAGGTCACTTTCAACTTTCCTCGGCCGCCATCTTTGTAATGACACCGAAAATTCTTCATTAAAGTACCTGTGATTGGGTAATTTGAACGAATCAAATTGCTTGACACTGTATTGTAGTTATCTCAAGACCACAAATATCAATTATTTATTGTTATATCAAACGGCCATTAATAATGATTTGAAATTCTCTCAGACAGGCGAATGTGCCGATTTCTTTCAAAATTAGAATACCATACTCTCGTAACTGCTAGTAAATTTTTATTTACAAATATCAATTAATTTTAAAGATAAGTTTCATCAGAGACCATTATAACACATATATAGTAGTCTCAGGTTTCATATATGATCATCATGTTCTCGTCCTTAATATGTATATTAATTTGCCGCTGGACGTAAATCAGCCATACATCATCATTATAATTTGTACAAAAAAAAAAAAAATTTTATGTTAACTTTGTACAAAGTCAAGTATAATCTGTCCAAAAGATGGTTGTACACATTACAATTTGTACAAAATTTTACTAAAATTCACTTTTAATTTGTACAAAGGATATATGCCGGATATTTTAAAATGATAAAAATGATGGCCTTTTATGATCTTTTATGTATTTTTAACAGTTATTGCCTTGCGCGGGAAAACAATTTTGTATTCAACTCTTCTTGAACACTTTTCAACTGTTCACTTTTTTGGGGTCAGTTGTTTTAATACGTTGCCGAAGATATCTGATCAAACATATACTGTAGGCAATAAGCTGTTAGAATTCCTATGCTGCTGTTCCTTTGCAGTACCCAAAACCTCTAGATTTAACAATTCCATTACAATGATATTATCGCCCACAGCAAGTTCTGATAACTTAGTTTGCTTTTCGTTTTCTTGGTAAGATATTCGGCTTAGCTCCATTGGATCTATAAATCAAATTGAAGCTGTTAAAGACACATATTTATTCCCAGGAACGGTTCTTGAGCTTAAACTTTCGCTACATGTATCAGTGAAAAAGCTTTCAAAAACTGGTGGTAAGGGATTTCTTTCATGTAAATCCAAAAGGGTTGCAGCACTTCTAACTGTTAATGTAAAAAGTAAAAGATGTTGCCATACTTCACTCACATGCTCAAACAAATGATACAATGTACAGAACTATTTTTTTATTTTGTAATAAAGTTTATTGTGGGGTCATTAAAAAAAATTCTGTTGTGTTTTTCAATGCTTTTTTTAACCCATTCCATATCAGAAATTATTTTACAAGTTATGAGTGAATTTTAAAAGTCTTATATTGTACAAATTGTAATTTGTACAAGCACTTTTTGGACAAATTACAAAAAGTCAAAATACAAATCATAATTTGCACAATTTTTGTGTACAAATTATAATTTGTACAAAATGATAACTTGTACACAACATGTATTTCATTTCTTCTTTGTTTGTATCTTTGTCTCCAAGTTGTCTTTGTGTTTACTTTTGGAGGAAATGGACTTCATCATATCTGCTCATTATATTACCCATTGATATATCCCCTTCTGTTACAAAATTCCTAATCAAAATGTAATATTTTTTTGACATAATCTTTACCATATAATGTCATAGTGCAATTAATATGCTAGTAGTGTTTTTGGTTAGAATTGTTTTTTGATTCCTTTACTAAAACATGGACTTGTTTTGCCAAAGGTTTATTTGGGAGGTATCCAGTGTGTATCCACAAATCCTCTAAGACCCTTTATTACAATAAATTAAAACTTTCTCATAATCTTAACTATATAATGTTTTTTGCACCTCCTATTTTTTTTTTTATCAGAATCATTTTTTTAGCGTATACTATATACACTTGGAGATACACCAATATTCCCGTGAAAAACCAGAAATTAAACAGACAAGCTCACAATATAGCTATGTAGTACTGTGCGGTCATCAGCGAACGGAATACTTTTTTAAAAACTCTTTTTGGCACAATTTGAAAATTCTTGACCCTGTTAATCTGGTTACATGAACAAAACGTACAATTTGGTATTCATTATGTAGGACACATTTGTTGATTAAAGACAACTTATAATTGCAGGTCTCTTAAAACATTCACACAACTGAAATAAACTATTTCTACATCGAATTTTACACTTAATGACCACTATACACGAAACATGCGTCACTGGACGTTGAACATGCTACAATCCCTAAATGAACTGTTGTTCAATGTTAATGAAAGGCTTCAATTATTATACACACTAGGTGAAATACTAAGTAGTAAATATACAATTACACGAAAGGCTGTTCCTTCGTATTGATAAACATGAAGATCCTTAAAGGCATTGTCTTTTAATAAATACATTAACAGATATCGCTTCAATTAAAAAAGCAATTATATTTGATGACTCCATCGTTCAAAACTGTTTTTCTCATTTTCAAAATAACATATACACTTACAAAAAACAAATTGAGGAGTAACTTTCAATCAATTATGCGGCAGTTATATCAGTTGTCAGTATAGAAAATAACCCTTTTCAACATGACATTAACAGTCCAACATCAAAGATGTTATTTCTATTTCAACTGGTGCTATTACATTAGACTTCAACATCGTTCAAGATTGAAAGGTTATAAACTTTCTAAAATTTCGTCCACCATCGAAAAAAATTGAAAAGGATGTCGTAAGTAATTAAAGAAAAAGTTTTATTCCATTGTAAAAATGTTGTAAATCTGAGCAGAAGTTAAAGTAATTCTTATTCAAACAACTGTGTTAATATTGCGTCCATTTCTAGGAATATTAATAAAATAATTGAAATTCAAACGGACAGAGGTATATCGAGAACTTCTTCTGACAAATAACAAAGTTTAATCATATGTCTCATGATACATGTACACGTATCAAGTTCAACATCTAACTAATTTTACTTTTACGGATCTCTATGCATGAATTGTTCGCCACTAGGTGTTAAGCATGCAACAAGCAATAAATCAATCTATTTTAAGCCACCTGTGGAGCAGGATCTGTTTAACCTTCCGGAGTACTTGAGAAATGTATTACGGAGTTATTTTACACAAACAATTAGTATTATAAAAAATATTGACACTGTCGAAGGCTATTTGTTAAGCCGAAATATTTGTCATTACGATTTTATAAAATCATCTTCGCATATTACCATCTAAAAAGTACCGTTGTGCAAATCTTTAGACTTTTAATATATATATATTTAGGCAATTTATAATATCATTTGTGTAATTGTATTAATCTTTGTACTGATTAATCCACACTCAAATAGATTTGTATGTTATGTGTTGCTATTTATAGGCACTTATATAGATATAAGAAGATGTGGTATGAGTGCCAATGAGACAACTCTCCATCCAAGTCAAAATTTATAAAAGTAAACCATTATAGGTCAAACTTATATATATATATATTTCGTCTCAAATTTAGCCCAACAATGTTAGATCTTCAAATTTACGTTAGCAAATTTTTGTTCTTCCCTCAGCGGAATAAGAACTCTTGCTTCTGTGACATAATGGCAACACAGCCTACTCCGTGTCTAGCGCCCTAGACCACTCGACCACCTAGGCTACATAAAAATATAGATTTCGGTGGTCGATGTAATACCTTTCCTCGTCGGCTTTATCTAGGGTTGTAACACAGTACATGATGTATAGTGGCAAGTAGATGGTGTACTTTTCAGATCAGCTATTTTGTCTGTCGTAAAGGATGATCATGCTAATTACCAAGCCGCTACATCAAATTTTAAATATATGTGTCTGAAATACAGATTATCTTATCTTATCTGACCAGTTTTGTATCGCTTGTTCAGTCGACGATCCATTGCTGGATATTTTTAATTTATCAGATTTGATAGTGTTGGGGTTCAGGTTCAGGTTTAGTTGACATAGTCATAAGTTATTTATCCAGGTTTTTTTTTTCAGTGTTGAACCACTGATTTTACTTATTTTCCCAATATGTACTTGGGGACAGAGCTTTTTTTTTAGCCCTCCCCCTTTTTTCTTAAATCCGTTATTTTGTTATTATTCTTTTAAATTCAATTATTTTCGCATTTTTCCGATATATTAACACAAATATAATAGAAATAACATGCATTTACTTTTTACAATCAATTCCTAATTTACTATCCACAGCGGTCACCGATAATATAGTTAGCCAGCATAATAGGTACTTGGAGACAGGATAATTTTTTATCATTTAAACATAGTAAGAGTTGATGTCCTAGTACTGTTCCTGATTAGCCAATCGACATAACGCGAAGCCAATATCTAGAAAACCCGATAATCTGTAAGTGTTCTTATCGTATGGTTAGATTTAGATGGGTTCTGTTGTTTCATTTGCGTTCTTTGCATGCTTTTGTTGTTCCTTTCTCGATTGTGACCGCCGATTTAAATTGGTGGATCGGATCAGTATTTCTGCTTTTTCTGTCGCTTATCAAATTTTTCTCTACTTTCAGATTTTGATACGCCTGTGTTGTCATTTCTCCTCAAGTTGACGTTTTTCTTGAATTTGCAGTAACATGAGAGTTTTTGCTCAATGTTAAAGACCTAACGGTAACTTTGAGATGATGAACAATAAAAGCGCTATTCCTTTGCTATTTTTTAATGTGCATGTTGTGTTTTGTGTCATGAATTAATACACTATACTATTTTTTTTCTTATTACACCTATATAGCAGACCACTGCACCTATATAAAAAGCGTTGAGACTGATAGCTCATTCACCAACAAAGCTGGTAAAAAAATCGTAAAAGGGTTCCGCGGAACCCTGTGTCTCGCTTGCGATTGCTGTTGTCAGTGTTAAAGTGTAATGTTGATTTAGAAAGTGAGTCCATTTATCAGTAAAATATAGAATTTAAAACAAAAATTTCAAACTTTTTCTTTAAATGCTATTTCATGGTCTTGAAGATTAGCTTCTGTCCAAGTTTCATAATAATCCATGAAGGTTTACAAATTTATCATGTCAAAAAAGTTTAATCCCAGACTGTCTGTAAATGTTTACTGTTAAAAACTAAGTCCATCTATCAGAACAAAAAATTGAAAATGAAAACAAATATTTCAAAAGTTTGC